GTTAGAATGAAATAACTAATGTCACTTGATTTCTGTCATTCATTATTTACATTATTGTCTGTGAGGGTGTCTTCTGGTTTCTCTGTTCACGTGGAATAAATTATCGAGATCTATCCACTAGATTGGATAGTACTTACATCATTTAATACTTTGTCTGTTCGTAATGTGTATTGTCCGCTGGTTTGTCTTCATGGTAATGTTTGTTTGTGGTGTGTATTGTCGGCAGGGTCGTCTTCATGGTTTATAGTTGTGTGTGGTGTCGTCTTCCTACCCTTACTGTCATATTCACCACCTCATAACGGAATAAGTAAAATTATAGATGAATGTAGATGTTGTGATAGATTATAATGATGTACCTAGAGATTTCACACCTGTATTATTACTTCAAGATGTCAGGCAGGAAATAACTGACAAAATGTCAGGTAATAATGAACTATGCGTAATACCTGATTTCTTGACTGTGTTCGACATGTATTAATAATATCAATATTATTGAAATAAAATTGAACAATATGTTAGTCCCGAAATAACCTAGTTTGTGTTGAGTGGATGTTACCCCCTCTCTCTTTCTCTCTCTCTCTCTCTCTCTCTCTCTAGTAATATGAGAAATCAGTGGAAAATAAAACAACAGGAACTAGAGGAATAGTACCTGACAGCCTGAATTTGTGAAGGTGAACTGTGGTGACTCAGTGGGTAAGATGATGGCTCGTTAACCTGTAGGTCCCGTGTTCGATCCATTTGTTGGATAAGAAAGTGATTTTTCAGCGCTGTTCTCCCTTGTCAGTGGTGCAGGACGGAGGGTCTGGAAAGGAACAATGTATAGTCGTTTGGATGGAACGAAAAAATGGCGCTACTGCGTACATATTGGAGTGCATGTAAAAGAACCCATCACACTTGGAATTCGAAATAAGAATAGGCCATAGTGTCGTTGTCAGGGCAAAATTTCCCTCGTAGCACACTGTATGCCGTATGCCTGTCTTCATTAGGACAGTTGGAGCAAAACAATTGGACGTTAAACCCCCATTTTATTTTTACTGTGAAAGATGCCTTATATCCAGGCGTGATGATGGTTATAGAAATGTTTGACAGTTCAACGCAAAAGATCCTTTGGTGTATGCTCATCTTTATTGAACCCCATGTCATTTCATTTTTACTTTTCTGTGAAAGATGCCTTATATCCAGGCTTGATAATGGTTATAGATATATTTGACAGTTCAACCCATAAGTACTTGTACGTAATTTATGTAATTAGTGTGTGTTAATTATAATTAAGTATTGTATGATCGGTATGTGGTGAATCTCTTTCGAGTGAAAAGTTTCATTTCTTTGATGTGAATTCTGAAGTATGAGAAATTTGTCATGAATTAACGAACGTAGATTCATCATGTTTCATCTATTTATTGGTCTTCATTTTTCAAAGTGAAAGATTAATCTTTTGACAAACTGATTGTTTATTAATAGATTCACAAGTTTTGTTATAACTAGATAATTTATTCTATATCTTAGGATGAATTGACTGTACTTAGTCTTAAAGGAATTCTTGGTAATATCCTTAAATGATATTTAATAATAATAATAATAATCTATTTATAAAACGCTGAATATCCAACAAACTGGTTGCTCAAGAGCACTATCTACGTAAGACATCTTTAAAAGATGAAAATAACCATGATACGATAAACATTTAAACACAAGGAATGAACAGAACTGGTAAAATTACGATAAACAAAATAGTTACTAACACAAAGGGTAAACAGATTTAAAGAGTTCAGTCTTAAGAGATTTCTTAAAAGATTTCATGTTTTTAGAGTCTTTAGTCTTTTTTGATAGTTTATTCCATCATGTTGGGCCACTATGGGCGAAAGTTCTCTCACCACTTTTTGTATTTACTAGTACAGGTTTAACTATCATAAAATAACACAACTTTATAAACTCATGGAAGTGTATTTTTTCTGGGTTTTTTTTTTTTCATTATTAAAGAGCATCTAGAAATGTAGATAAAACAAACTTTAACATAAAAAACGATATGATCACTTGTAATTATTCCTAGGTGGAATCATGGAAGTTGGAAAAATCATGGAAAATCTTTTAAATCATGGAAGTTGGAAAATCATGGAAAATCTTATAAAATCATGGAACTTGGAAAATTATGAAAAAGCTTTTAACACTATGGAACTTGGAAAATCATGGAAAATCTTATAACATCATGGAACTTGGAAAATCATGGAAAATCTTATAAAATCATGGAACTTGGAAAATCATATTAAATTCGAATGTCAGTGGCAATAACCAGAGAGAGGGTGTCTCTTTAACGCTTAAGTGTCTGTACATTTACATGTGGTTAAGTGAAGGTTATAAAACTGCCATGTATATATTATTTGTATATGAGATCTATTTTTGGTGGTATAAAGTGTTTATTTTAGGCTATGATTAACAGCATACCGATAATAATAACAGTTCTGTTTATTGTTCTAATCTTGATTTATTAGTTTATTATCAAGTTAGATCAGACCAGAATCCAGATAAATACTTCACATGTTTCACATTCGTATCTCAACATCTGTCATCTTTATATCTTATAAAACAATGTAGGAAGGGTAAACAAAATTATAACAACAATTTTAACGTACATGTAAATTCGGAACTGCTTTGATGAGAGACAGCCTGGCATCCGAAATTCTTTAATATTACTTAATATACTAGTGTCTAACATTAAGCCAAATAATATAATAAATTGGCTAATAGTATTACAGAATATTACTGGAAAATTACCAGAAATCCATAACAAAGAACAGACACTAGTCTCTTGTCTGTATATAAAACAGGAATTGTGTTCGTGGTTGATGGCGTCGAGATTTGATTACCTGTCATTTAAACTCTTGTATCATCATTTATTTTTTTGCATGTTTTTTTCGTTATCCAAATTGTAAAACATATCAAGTACAACATCAATAGAGTTGGACAGTTTTATCAACTACATGAAAAATAGTTCTTTCTTGAAAATAAAACAAAATTTGATCATCTTCTGTGGAAATATCTGTATCTAGGAATGTTATTTTGGAGTCTGGTTGTATCATATCAAATGAATGGGAATAAAATGAATAAAACCAAGTACGAACAATCTGAATTGTTTGACTTAAAATTGCCTGTTTGCTGCAAATATGTTAATCGACTTGGAAATTTACTATTTTAAGTAGAATAACCTCTGACGCTTGCTGTCAGAACAGTTCAGTTGATTCTTTAGTAGTTTTAAATCCAAAGTGAAAACTTGATTATTTAGTAAAAAATCTGTAAATAGGCCTTTCTCTCAGAAAGCTTCTATTTTCGTTCTATAGTCGGTGGGGACCGGAGCACATGTGACGTCACAAATGGACCGGACTTGATCTTGATTATTTATTTTGTTATCATTAACAATCCAAAATGAGAAACATATTGCACAATTCAAATAATATATCATTATTAAATTGAATTATGTATGAATGTTATGTTCTGCTGGCTACTGGCCCCAAAACACAGACGTTTTATCGTTTTATAACTGGATTATCTCTAGCTGTCTGATCAACGTAATAATTATATAAAATACGCCATCGACTAATATTTTGAGAGATATTTCATTACTTCTAATTAAATTACAAATCGCCTAGTCTCATCTTCATGAAGACATTACAACTCGTGATTGGGGATATGATTGCCACTAACTGAGAAAAGGCCAAAGGTTTTAATCAAATTTTGTATGATCAGTAGGAAACTTTATACGATAAATAAACCAAGGGATAAGAAAGGAATATTTTTTCTCACAACATCTCGTGTCTACAGTAAATGTTATGAGTGAAATGTGATAAATTTCTCAAGGTACAGGTGATGATGAAATATAAAACATGACATATTCCGATGAATACTGATATCATGGCTATCCCATCACGTATTCTGTGTCTATTACTAAATATATAAATATAGAATTTAGTTCCACATAAACTGGTCATTACAGATTTTCATCTTGTTGGTGTGCTTTCTGTGAAATGTTGTTTTAAAGTTTCACTGTTTCAGTGACTTGAAGAATATGGTCTTTTCTCATTAACAGGATTCCGATGTGGTTTCCACATGTCAGTGGTGCAGGACGGAGGGCCTGACAAGGACAGCTGTCTAGCCATTTGAATTGGACAAAAAACCGAGAACCTGTGTATACATTGGCGTGCATGTAAAAGATATCCTGGCAGTTGGAATTTGAATGCCGCTACCCTGGCAAAATTTCCCTCATAGCACACTGTATGGCGTATACCCGTCTTCATTAGCCCTGTTGGAGTAGGACTTTAAACTCCATTTCATTTTATTTCATTAACAGATGTTGGTGTTAACTGGAAGGTCCTTTAGGACTTTCAAGTCTGATTTATATTACAGGGTCGGCTTAAACAATCTTACCTAGTCTGATGTTACACTACTTTTATGAATGTGAATATTTTGATAATTGTTTTCAGAAAAATGTCATAGAATCATGAAGTTTTTATTGGATACTAATAGTCTCCTATTTTGTCATTATTTCTGAACATGGTTCAATAATTAATGACATGCTCAATCCATGCACCTCTTCTCAGAATGAGTAACATTTTTTTGACCCACCCTGTATGTCGATGGTGCAGAACAACGAGTTCTGGCAATGAAAATGGTCTAGTTATTCGAATTTTGAGCTTGGTGAACTTGGTTTTGAACATATATTGATATATACTGATAATAGACAATTAGAGGGATCACACGGACTCGGCCTGACTAAATCTGAATCTGTGCCTGACATTTTTTTCAGGCTAAGTGGCACCAAACACAGAGGTTATGGAAGACTCTTGGAATTTGTGTAACCATGAATATTATTTTGTTACTTTATGTCTGACATTTTTATTCTGGCTATAAGTGGCACCATAAGCACAGGTTATTGAAAACTCTTGGAACTTGTGTAACATTGGATATCATTTTTTTGTTACTAATGAGACGTTTTTTTATCGTTACAGCTATACAGTCCCTGGACTCTCTCAATGATCAGATCGTACAATATATATTCTCCCAGAGCCATGTGGATATTGACCTGGAGAAAGACCTATCACCACGAGAACAAGAGACTCTCCAATCGTCCATGGTGTTGATTCGTCGACTTCTTGTCGATGCTCAAGCCAAATTCCGTAAAATGGTTGAAGACAATAAACAACTAGCGGCCAGGATTGATGGTTCCATTCAGGCAGCCAATCAGGAAGTGAATGCATTGAGAGCAGAACTAGCAGATACAAATAAAAGACTTTCGGAAATCAGTGTAAATGATGATAAAAATGAAAATGATTCAGAATCTGATTTAAAGATTGAAAGTAAGTTTTAAGTTAAAATATCTGCCCCTTGGTTTTTCCCAAAAAGACAACAAAAGAGAAGAGGGGTTAATGGACAACGGGGTTAACGCCTGCTCTTCATCGAATAGCAAAAGTCAATGATCTATTTATGTGTGTGCCAACGTGTCGTGTACACAGGACCCCGTAGGGTTTTTTGTGTGTACCGCACGGCTAGACAAAAAATTGAAGAAAATCATTAACTCAAATGTCATTTGATCAGAAAGAGAGGTGGGGAGAGAGAGCAATATGTTTTATTTAACACCCACTCAACACTAACTTGGATATTTTGGGACTAGTATGTGGTGCATCTTTATTTTGAAAGCAAAAGGAAAACACGAGTTATACTTCTATTTAGCTGACTTACGTGATGAGTGATAACAGTTACACGGGCGAATTTCTGCTCACTAACAATTCCTTCGAAGACCAGAAGTTGTTATGTGTGACTGTGAGTTTTATAGAAGGATAACTCGTCTTTTCCTTTTGTTTTTCGTCACTTCCATTTCTTGAAATCTTCATTACGCAACTATCGTAGCAATGATCTCTATGTTAAAATGATATTTGGAACGTGTTTAACCAATTCTATCACATGTGATAACCGCTGACATCAATATTGTTCTTTATTCCTTAACTTATGGTATTTGTTTTTTTGTTTTTTTTTACAGTCATCCCTTCAAATAAATCACAAGAAGATTTGGAGCTTGTGAAAGTGAAAGAAGATAATATGTGTCTAGAAAACGAAGTTAAAAGTTTGAAAAAAGAACTTGAGGAACTTCGTTCAAATAAAAAACCTACGAACAATGTGCACCATAGTAACGGTGAATTAAAACTTGAACTCATTCAAATGAAACAGGAATTTAATCGTGCTAAAGAAGCGTTACAAGGTTTGTATACAGACATCTTTTAGTGTACTAATACATCATCCTCCACACATGCATTGGGGGTTGGATGGCCGAATGGTTAGTGTGTTCGCATTGTATCATTAGGTCTGTCATTGAGTCAACTGCCGTGGTTTCGATTCCCAGGTTGAATGTTACAAGGAGTTGGGTCGCCTTGTAATCTTGTGGTTTTCTCCAGGTCCTCCGGTTTCCTTCCACTGCTAAAGACCCCTACGCGCAAGCGAATTAATTATTGAAATAAAATTGAACCGTATGTCAGTCCCAAAATGGCCTATTATGTATCGAGTTGACGTTAACTCCCCCTCTCTCTCTCTCTCTCTCTCTTTCTCTCTCTCTCTCATGCTGGTTCCATTTAAAACTTTTCTTTTCGCAAATTTAGAATATCTAAATGACGAGGGCACTTTGAAAAATAAACATGAAAATTTTGCATCAAGTCAAACGGTACAAACAACACATGCAAATGATATCACATCAGGTACATGCTTAGAAATATCAAATTAATTTCTACATTTCTAGATTTAAAAAAAAATATTCATATTCCTTACAGGCATTCGGCGTGCAAGATTTTTTTAATAATTTTTTTAGAAAACGCAAGTTTTAAACAGTAATTTACTGACATGTGAAGTGTAACAGTATTTAATACGTGAAAGCTGTTGAATTTGGCAGAAGTTGTGAAATGTTGTATGCAATGAACATGTTTATAAGCCTCCTTCATCAAATCAATTGAAATTTGATGAATTCAAGATGTTAATTTAAAAGATTTTAAAATTTTCTATAAATAGTTTGTAGTATGTAAGAACTGATAAATTATATCAACTTTACGTCCGTAGATCATCATGTTTCATGATTACAAGCCGACGAACATGTACACCAACCTTGTTAACAGTTAAATTTAGATATAAAATTAGAAACATCCTGTGTTTTTCTTAAATAAAATGAGGCACTTATTGTGTTGATTATGTATAGCTATGACTGGTTAAAGGTTATAAATTGCACCTAATAATGACTGACTACCTGATATAGACAAACAATTTGTTACTGAGCAAAGCTGTAATGAAATAGGAGTTGAACATCCACAGTTTTTCAGTTGAATTAAGCTATTTGGTATGATAGTGGAATGTTTTATATAACAATATACAGAACCCATTAAATATTTATTAAGTCCTACAAAGGTCCAGGAAATCCCCTGTGTTCGAGTAATTGATAATTTTGCGAGACATTTGCAAGTTTGCCTCAAACACTGTGGAGGCCATTTGGGGTATATTTTGGAAAGAACATGACATTTATACAAAGCCACAAACATAACTGAAACTTCGGGGAATGATTGTACACAGATAGATGTTTAAGTCCAGCAAATTTCATCAAATTTGCTGGACCTTTGTAGGTTTTAATAAATATTTTATGGGTTCTGTTTTTCTTTGGGGGGGGGGGGGCAGAGTCACCTTGTATGCCTACACTATACATACAGTACTACCACATAACATAAGGGAAATGAAATGAAATGAAATGGGGTTTAACGTCCTACTGTTCTGCTCTGACTCGACTAATGAAGATGGGCATATGCCATACAGTATGCTATGAGGAAAATTTTGCCTGGGCAGCGGCATTATGGCCTACTCTTATATCAAATTTCAACTTCAATGGAATCTTTTTCGTGCATGCCAATGTATACACGGGACCTCAGTTTTCCGGGTTAAGTATCTTCCAATATATAACTGTTAGAACAAATATAGATACTTCTTGACTAGAATACATGGTTTCTCTCACGATCATGGTAAAAACCATGATTGTAAATAAAATTTACATATTACGATTAATTCATTTATTGACATAATTGTCCAACCCGAATCAATGAAGGGGATCACGTGGCTAAGTGGGTAAGACGCTGGCTCGCTAGCCTGGAGGTCGGGTGTTCGATCCCTGCATTGGCCGAGAAAGTTCATCCAGATTTTCCGGCGTGGTTCCCCCTTGTCAGTGATGCAGGACGGAGGGCCTGACAAGGACAGCTGTCTAGTCCTTCGGATGAGACGAAAAACCGAGGTCCCGTGTATACATTGGAATGCACGTAAAAGATCCCTTGGCAGTTGGAATTCGATATAAGAGTAGGCGATAGTGCTGCTGCCCGGGCAAAATTTCCCTCATAGCACACTGTATGGCGTATGCCCGTCTTCATTAGCCCAGTATAGGAGCAGAACAGTAGGACGTTAAACCCCATTTCTTTTCATTTCATTTCTAATCAATGAAGTATAACTCCCCCCCCCCCCCCCCCCCCCCCCCGTAATTCGTAAATCATGCGTTATTACTTTGAACAGATTGCACAAGTACTGGCACTATTTTTAGACAATATGTTCCGAGTAACTTTCATTTTTGCTTAAAGTTATCTTATTATATTTGATTGCAGCTATGAAAGCCGACAGAAAAAGATTAAAAGGTGAAAAGTTGGAACTGTTAAAACAGATAAAACAACTTTACGATACCCTGGAGGAGAAAGAATCTGAACTACGTGATTTTATACGAAACTATGAACAAAGAGTACAAGAAAGTGATGATACTATTAAACAGGTTGGTTTCCCTTTTCCCTCAACATTATTACAAACATCTTGATACATTAAAGTTTTAGCTAAATATAACCCAATTGGTGCTCATGTGCCATTTCATTCATTTATTCATTCTAAACTTTTAGCTAAATATTGCCCAGTTGATGCTGGTGTGCCATGTGATTGATTCATTCAATGTAAACTTTTAGCTAAACATAGCCCAGTTGATGCTGGTGTGCCATGTGATTGATTCATTCATTGTAAACTTTTAGCTAAATATAGCCCAGTTGATGCTGGTGTGTAATATGATTGATTCTTTCATTGTAAACTTTTAGCTTAATATAGCCCAGTTGATGCTGGCCTACCATTAACAAGCATTTCACTCATTGTAACCTTTTTGCATAATTTAGCCCAGTTGACCACCATTTCACTCATTGTAAACTTTTGGCTTGATATAGCCCATTTGATGCTCGTGTGCCGTTTCATTCACTGTAAACTTTTAGCTTAAAGATACATTATTGGAGATTAGATAAAGAGCTGGCAGTTCTTACTAAAGTAGTTAAACAGTAGATAATGTAAAGAGAATTTGCTGAAAATTTCAATCAGATTGATCCACTATGAACCGAGAATTAAGTGATTGAAATTTCGACCTCGCATCGATCATATTACTAAAGTCGGTATGGATGAAAAACATAGTCTTGATTATCCATTTAATGATTAAATCAGGAATGAAAGTTAAGCAGCAAATCGGATCATAATCCAATAGATATCGCAGGCAAGCGTTGACATCGAGAGTTGATTATGGTCTGGATAAGTTAAGTAATGTCTAATTAATAATTTAGAAAACATTTCAGGCCTAAAGAAAGACCTGCAATAGACACATTTAGCTCTTGCATAATATATGTTTAATATAGCCCAGTTGATGCTGATGTACCATTCATTGTAAACCTCTCTAAATATCAACATTAAATAACGTGATTGTATTTCTTGTTTTGTTTTTTTCACAGCTGGTTTTAGAGAAGGAAGAATCTGAACGAGAGAAATGGGAGATAATCAAGAAAGCTAGAGAATCGGCTGAAAGGGTGGTACTTCTACGAGCACAGCTTGATTCTAAAGATCAACAGATCAAACAACTTGAGGCAGACATTGTTGAGGTAAGTTTCACAGTTTTTAATTACTCATGAAATGATATTGAGGCTAAAGTCTTATTTTACTGCACTAACCAAGCTAATGGATTCTGGTATACACCATACAGTGTGGTGGGTTGGGTGGCCGAATGATTAATGCATGCTCGTTGCATCATAAGGTCTGTCATTGAGTCAAGTGGCATGGTTTCGATTCCCTGCATATGCGTGACAAGGAGTAGTGTCACCTGTCCATCCTGGTGGCTTTTCTCCGGGTCCTTCGGTTTCCTTCCACTGCTAAAGAACCCTACGCACAAGGGAATTATTGAAATAAAAAAGGATCATATGTTAGTCCCGAAATGACCTAGATGTTAAACCCATCCTTCTCTCTGAATAATAGCAGTGTTTCCTCCATCCCCTTCACTAAATTCTTACTGGCAAGGGTTCTTTTTCACACGCACCTCAACGAAGGGCTTGACTGGACCTCAAACTTTTTTTTATCCCAACCAAACTATGGGACACCGCTCCTTGCCAGGCCCTCCATCCTTTACCTCTGACAAGGGGGAAACAAGACTGGAACTTTTTTGGTCAACTCTGGGATTAATCCAGAGACCTCCTAGTTAGTGATCTACTGTGGCCCCCTTATGGCTCCCTTTTAATTTAGAAGTTTTTTACCCGATTAAGTCCACAATTCCCATCACATTTTAAACATACATTATGCAAGAGCTACATCTGCCTATTGTAGGTCTTTCATAAGGTCTGAAATGTTATCTAAATTATTAATTAGACATTAATTAACTTATCCAGACCATAATCAACTCTTGATGGCATCGCTAGCCTGTGATGTTTATTGGATTACGTTCCGATTTGCTGTCCGACGTCCATTCATAATTAAATCAAAAAATGAATAATCGAGACTGTTTTTTATCCTACCGACTTTAGTAATGATGATCGAGGCTAGCCCCAATATTCAATCGCTAAAATCTTGGTTCATAGTGGATCAATTTGACTGAAATTTTCAGAAAATTGCCTTTACATTATCTAGTTTTTAACTATTATAGTGAGAATTGCCAGCTCTTTATCTAATCTCCCATAATGTATCACAAGTGCTTAAAAAATTAGTCGCCTATCCCACAGGATTTATTTTATAATATTTAATTTTCATGCTTTGTGCGCGCTAGAATGTACTCAAATTGATTATTTAATTAAGGAAACAAAATCGAAAAGAATAATGAAAAGAGGTTTGGCTCAGCCTTGTAGAAAAGTGCAAATGAAATGAAATGAAATGGGGTTTAACATCCTACTGTTCTGTTCCGAACTGGGCTAATGAAGATGGGCATATGCCATACAGTTTGCTATGAGGGAAATTTTGCTACTGCGTACTCTTATATCGAATTCCAACTGCCAAGGGATCTTTTACGTGCACGCCAATGTGTACAGGGGACCTCTGTTTTTCATCCCATTTGAACGATTAACAAAGCTGTCCTTGTCAGGCCCTCCGTCCTGCATCACTAATAAGGGGGACCCACGCCGGAAAATCTTGATGAACTTTCTCAGCCAATGCAGGGATCGACCACCCAACCTCCAGGCTAGCGAGCCAGCGTCTTACCCACCTAGCCACTGTGGCCCCCGAATTGGATTAAAAAGAAACCCCATCAAACTATTTAAGTCAACACTTATAGTTGTTGCTGGAATGTTTACATCATCTGAATATATTATTCTATTTATAGATTAAGGAAAGTACAGTAGCCAGTGTTAATAAATCAGTGAATTTATCTGATACAACAACTACGTTAGATAGTATTACCGTGGCAACTAATATAACAAATGATGATTTACCACCATATGAATCACCTCCACCTTCAACTAATAAAAACTTTACAGGTAAATAGTTTACTTTCTTACCTTTATTACAACATACCAGGACTTTACCTTTATTACAACATACATGTGATACCTTTATTACAACATACATGTGATACCTGAATTTTAACTTTATTATACCTAGACTTTACATTTATTACGACATACCCTTGATACCTGGTCGTTACCTTTATTACAACAAATGTTTTATACCTGGACTTTATCTTTAGTCTTTATTATTTATTGACTGATTGAGAAACGGTTTTAGACAACTTATTCGGAACTGATGTGATTACATGTATCTTGCTTATGTGAATAGGAAAATTATAGATTTTAGACATGATACTTGGCCTCAGCTTCAGGTTATTTTTGAAAGAGTTTTTCCAGTTACAAGCACCTGTGGGTTGTACACATAGATGAACAAGATGAACAAATGTTCCTTTAAGTTTTAAGATATATCAGTGATCATTAAAATGGATTGGATCAAAAGCCTTGATTTCTAACGAGTGATGAGTTTGGCGTGTATCGTTGCATGTTATTGTTTTAGTGAAGTTATTTACTTTTTATAATGTGATTTACTTTTAATAACATGTGATTTACTTTTAATAACATGTGATTTACTTTTGATAACATGTGATTTACTTTTAATAACATGTAATTTACTTTTGATAACATGTGATTTACTTTTAGTAACATGTGATTTACTTTTGATAACATGTGATTTACTTTTAATTATGTGTTTTATTTTTAATAACATGTGATTTACTTTTTAATAACATGGTTTACTTTTAATAACGTGTGATTTATTAATTTTATTTTAGTTTCAACAAGTACGCCGAACACAGACCGTAAAGATTCGCTAACACCGTTAATGAAATGGTTTAATACAAGTCATGACTATCATGAAGCAGATGTTAAAAATAAAAAGAAGCGGAAAAGCTTTGGTTCTTTATCACGAGTTTTTACTCGTGGTCGTACAAGGCGGTCTATAGCTATGACTAACAATGAAAGCTTAGATCCTGAAGGTGAGTTAGTGTCATAAAAAAAATGTTGTTAGTATCTAATATTTCCCATGAAGATCCAGTTGACGTCCATGGTTAAATTCTTAGTTAAATGGGGATTATGGAAGATTACATAAAGAGCTGGCAGTTCTCACTATAATAGTTAAAAACTAGATAATGTATACTGGAAATTTCAGTCAAATTGATCCATTCTGAACCAAAATATTAGCTTTTAAATTTTAAGCCTAGCCTCTATCATCATTACTAAAGTTGGTACTATAAAAAACATAGTCTTGATTATCCATTAGCAGATCAAATTCAAATCCAATGAAAATCTGACACATAAGATGCCATCTAGAGTTGATTATGGTTTGGAAAAGTTAATTAATGTCTAATTAATGTTTTTTATAACAGTTCAGGCCTAATGAAAGACCTACAATTGGCAGATTTAGCTCTTGCATAATGTATATTTAAACATTTAAACATATATTATGCAAGAGTTAAACCTGTCTATTGCAGGTCTTTTTTCTGGCTTCAAATGTGATAATCGATAGTCAAAACTCCCAAACTCATAACTTTGCTCAGAATAAAGTGCTTTGACTGAAATTTTCAATATATTCATTTTGCATTATCTATTTTTGAACTATTATAAAAAGAACAGACAACTCTTAATCTAAATCTTACATAATGCTGAAATATATTAGAATTATTGACGACTGAATATGTGATTGGTGGGCAGTAAATGCAAACATAATTTCAAATTGACGTTCGGGAACAGCGTTATCCTGTTTTTAACGCGTCTTAATATCTTCCAATTGATCGTTAAAACCGAATCCATACTGTGAATGCATATGATAAACTGTAATTTTAATTATTTTTTTTCAGATTCTGGTCCGTGTCCCAAGTTAACTTTATTAAGTCAGGAGAATTACCAGGAAAAATTACAAATATTGGAACAGGTTAAGGGTGTACATATGTCCAATTGGAAAGCTAATCATGTTTTAGCTTGGTTAGAAACATCTCTTAGTATGCCCATGTACGGTAAAATGTGTGCAGAAAATATTAAAAGTGGCAAGGTGAGTGTCTAAAAAACATTTTCTTTAGACAATGATTTGACTCAAGAAATGTAGCCTGTTTGTTGTATTTCCCTTCTGTTTTGTGCTCACAAGAAAAGTCTTCCTTGATGATCGTATGGACAGTCGAGATCCAGCCATTAACACATTGTGTTGGGATGGTCTAGAGCAGTGGTTCTCTACCGGCACACCTCGGAACACATGAAAAAATAGCAGCACATCTGGCTAAATATATTTGAAAAATATTTGTATTTTGCAAAATAAAAACATGGCAAGTCATAGACGGCATACAACCGTAGACAGAGACTAGTCATAGACACATAGAATGACTCAAACTAAATAAAGAAAAACACAGCTATGAACTTATCAGTAGACACCAGTGAATACTCAATTGGGATCACTGGTTTTTCGCATTTTCTTAGTGTGTCATTCCAAATTTTGTGGAACACTTTGGAAGATCTCGCGGCACACGGGTTGAGAATCACTGGTCTAGAGTGTCACACTTTGAAACTCTAGCTGGTTGGTCAACTGGTGTCTCTTGGAGAGGCACCTTCTCAACCACGATCATGAGTATACTCCTGGTACTCCGGTTTCCTTCCACAGGAAACAGTCCTGCCATGAATATACTAACACAAGATAACTTGTCTGTGATATAACCTACAACAACATGGAACAATGAGAGTAACACTTACTGTTGTCTAGTAAAAAATTATCCTAACTAATGTAACCATAGTAACCAGAATTACTATGTGTCTGTCTCAATAATTCCGAAATGACCTAGTTAAGAGGATGTTAAACCCCATCTCTCTGTTTCTCGCAATATGACAGATGTTTTTAGCTGACAAGACATTAGACTTTATTCCTTGAATTTATTCTTCAACATACATTATGCAAGAGCTAAATCTGTCTATTGCAGGTCTGTCTTTAGGCCTGAAATGTTATATAAACTATTAATTAACATACAAAGACAATAATCAACTCTCGATGCCATCTTATGTGTCGGATTTTCACTGGATTTGAATCATTGATGATTTATTCCAAAATTGGTAATTGAGACGATGTTTTTTATCGTACCGACTTCAGTAATGATGATCAAGACTAGGCCTATAATTCAGTTCAGAGTGGAGCAATTTGACTGAAATTTTCATCATAATCCCAGCTCTTTATCTAATCTTCCATAATTCCCCTCTTATAGAATGATTGATTGTATAAAAGTTGTCTTGTTTCTGTTTGTAGGTGTTACTTGGTTTGAGTGATTCCGAGTTAAACAACGCCTTGAATGTTGTAAATATTTTACACAGACGCAAGTTACGTCTGGCTATTGACGAACAGAGAGATCCAGTTGAAGTGTAAGCTTTCAGTCATAACTTTCGAGTATGGTCGCCTGTCCAACCTCGTGGGTTTTCTCCGGGTCCTCCGGTTTCCTCCCACTGCTAAAGACCCCTACGCGCGAGCGAATGATTGAAATAAAATTGAACCATGTGTTAGTCCCGAAACGATCTAGTTTGTGTCGAGTGGACGTTAAACCCCATTTCTTTCTCTCGCTCTTTTCATAACTTTCAAATGGCTTAGTTACTCAGGCACTGGCCCACTAACCAGGGGTTGTCTGTGGTACAGAACAGAGGGCCTGACAAGGACAGCTGTCTAGTTGTTTGGATGGGAAGAAAAACCGAGGTCACATGTACACATTGGCGTGCACGTAAAAGATCCCTTAGCAGTTGGAATTCGATATAAGAGTAGGCCATAGTGTCACTGCCCAGGCAAAATTTTCCTCATAGCACACTGTATTGCGTATGCCTGTCTTCATTAGCCCAGTCGGAGCAGAACAGTAGGATGTTAAACCCCATTTCATTTCATTTTTAATACTAACCGAGAGGTGTGGGGTTTAGTTTGGATGCTGCTCAAGAAAGTTCCTCAGGATGTTCTACCCTTCGTTTCGGCTTGTCAGTGGTGTAGGATGGAGAGTCTGGAAAGGAACAGTGGTTAGTTCTTCGGATGGTTCAAAAATTTTAAGTTCCTGTGTACACGAGGTTGGACAGGTTACCCTACTCCTTGTCACGCACAACCAGGGAATCGAAACTACGCCAGTTAATTAACTGACCGACCTTATCATACAGTGCGCACACGCTAACCATTCAGCCATCCAACCCCCCTCATGGCATATATCTGTCTTTATTAGTCTGAGTGGTGCAGAACAGTAAAAGGTTTAACATCATTTCATTTTGTTTCTTTTTTACATTTTAGGAAATTTCCTAAGGCTGATTCAGTAGATCATACGTGGGTTTCTCACCGATGGCTGCCTGACCTGGGCTTACCACAATATACAGCCATATTTGAATCACATCTAGTCGATGGTCGGACACTCAACACGCTAAATAAAAAGGATTTAGAGAAATATTTTGATATGCATCGTAAATGTCATCAAGCGAGTATTCTTCATGGTGTGGAATTGTTGAGACGTCTGGGTTATGATAGAGAGGTAAGGCCAATCAGGAGTCAAGCAGACGTTATTCACTGTTTTAAGGGCTGGGTAGGAGTTTATGTTACATTCTTTTATTTTCTGTCAGGGTGCCGCAGGGGATCAGCGAGTAACACACTCTCGCTAACCAGGAGATCTCATGTTCGTTCCCAGTGTTGGCTGAGAAGTTCCCTTGTCAGACAAAGGGTCTGACGAGAGACAGTGTCTAGTCCTTCAGATAGGATGAAAAACTGAGTTGCCATGTACACATTGGCATGCGCGTAAACAAATTCTTGACATTTGAAATAAATGTAGGTCATGGTGCCGCTGTTCAGGGTAAAATTTCCATCATATACCAGTCTTCATTAGCACAGTCGATGCAGTAAAGTAGGAATTTGTTAGTGGGAAGTTAAAAGGACATATCGCGCATATTGAACGAAACTCGTTTTTTTGCTTCTTTTGAATCAGATTTTTCTTGCATATTATTTTTTAACTCGCCCGAATTATTTGACAAAACTTTTGACTGTAGCGACAATAGTCATTCGGATAGATAGTCATGCATACCATTAACAGGAGTGTTTCGGATAGATAGTCATGCATACCAGTAACAGTAGTCATTCGGATAGATAGTCATGCATACCATTAACAGCACGTTAAAGATCCCCTGTCTGCTGGAAATCAAAGAGTAGGTTGCTGTAGTGCCACTTTCGAGGAAAATTTTTCATATTCAATGTCTCGATTCCTGCATGTTTAATTATTTCATTTGTAATTACTAGTACCCACTCTAGTTTAATAAAACCCACATCATGGCAACAATCTATTTCTTTTAAGACAGAAATTACTAATGAATTGCCATTCTCCAATTTTTAATTAAGAGAAAAGATATTTCTACAATAATGTGTTTATATATTAAAGGTTTTAGCAGAACGAAGAACAGCTTGTGAAGAGGCAGCAGCAGATCCTTTAGTTTGGTCCAATAAAAGAATCATAAGCTGGATCAAATCTATAGATTTAGGGGTAGGTCATTTTAAAACATAAATATAGAAAGACGAATAAACAGCTTGTCTTTCCATTGACAGTGCCCTCGTAAAAAATGACCATACACAATTTTGAAGAATAACATAATTGATAATATAACAATATTGGTGTCAGCCATTATTACATATGTGATAGAACTGGTTAAACACGTTCCAAATATAATTTTAACACAGAAATCATTACTACGATAGATGCATAACGAAGATTTGAAGAAACAGGAAGTGATGCAAAATATGGAAAACATGATTTACTGAAGTAACGAGCGATAACAGATACATGGTTGAATTTTTACTCACTGATAATACCCTCGAAGAAAAAAAAGTTGTTGTATGAGACTGTGAGAGGAGAATATCTGACAATTCATAGAAAAAACTGACTGTCATTAGATAAGACAAAACGTAAAAAATCGTAAAAATTACCATGTTTTTTTTATTAAGTATAGAATGAATAAAAGCCCATTCATTTCATTTCACCATATTTAATATTATGTTTTCATGTTTTTAGGAATATGCTGATAATTTAAAAGAGAGTGGTATCCATGGTGCTTTAATGGTTTTAGAGCCTTCATTTACATCAGACACCCTAGCAACAGCACTGGGCATTCCACCCGCTAAATCATTTATCCGTCGTCATCTCAATACTGAACTGGATTCTTTAATAAAACCAGCAAGGTAGATAATTCACTTTTGTCTTATTCATGGTTAACGTCTACTCAAACATAAAATTTTATTTGAATAATTCGCTTGCACGTAGGGGTCTTTAGCAGTGGGAGGAAACCGGAAGACCCAGAGAAAACCCACGACCCTACTCCTTGTCATGTATAAACAGCGGATCGAAACCACATCACTTTACTCAGTGACAGACCTTACGATCTAAAGCGCACGTTTGACTACTCGACCACCTGTCTTATTCAATGGTACATGTAGGGTGATGTATCCGAAGCCAGTAATCCACTGTTTAAAATGTTCTTATAACCAGACGCTTACAACTCATTGTGAGGGGGGAAAAAGGTTACTGCTGTAATGGATTTTTTTTAATTTTTAATTTTTTGACAGGAATGAAATTATGATTAGTATATTAAAGTCCCATTGCATCATTTGCATTTTTCGCTAGGATATAGAATTTCGCACGGCTTAATCTCGCGCTAATATGTGTTCTCAAGATTGATTATTTAACGTTTAATCCCCATAACCTGGTTATCTTTTAATCTTGTGTATCTAGCACTAATTTCTTTCACATTCATTCAATATCAAATCTGCCTAAAAATTTGTAAAAATCGTTTAAAATCACCAAAAATCAGCTAATTTGTACTTGTGTCCAGTTTAAAGCTGACCATTCAGCTTTGATAATGAGTGTCCAATTTACAAGCGTTTAATTTCTCGATCACTGTTAAAAAATAAACAACCCAATTGATTATTGATGTATAATGATTAATTATTGAACAGTGGTCAGGAAATTAAATACTTGTAAATTGGACACTCATTATCAAAATTAATCAGTCAGCTTTAAACTAGCCACAAGTACAAATTTGATTTTGGGTGATTTAAATGAATTTTTATGAATTTTTTAACGAAGATTTGATATTGAATGTATGTGAAAGAAATTAATGCTAATATACACGATAAAATGATACAGTGTAATTAAGAAAATAAAACGAAAATATCACCCTGTTAGATAATCTGCCAGCTTGGATAAATCAAAACCATTTTTGAACTGAATTAAAGATTCTTCTTTCTCGATATTGTAGATTACAGTAGATTCCTATTGTAGTTTACAGCAGATTCCTATTGCGGTAAAATAACGCAATGAATCTTTAATATTTAGAAGTTTAAAATACTAATATAACTAATTTTATCAACAGAGTGTATTTAGCTGGAATGAACATATTAAGGTAGAAATATCGTCATGACTATTTCATGTATTATGTTAACCGTATATCTTTATTTAGTTATAAGTATATATTATTTTCTGGTTCAGTTTTTGTAGATATTTATTTTAAGTTTTAGTTATTAGTTATTGGAAATTATAATTTGTATAATGGGTTTTTGAGGTTGTCTCTTGCCTTTTGGAGATAGCAGAGGACTATTAACATGGGTCTGTCTGTCACACATTTTGGAAATGTTCAAACATGAACCCTGTTTACATTACAAATTTTAACCATGCCAGGCACAGTATGGTTAATTTTTTTGTAGTGTAAGCAGGTCAAACTTAAGCATGCTGTACTGAGTACTGTGCCAATTTGGCCCACTCGGGACGGCGCCAGGCACGACATGGTTAGTTTTTCATACTGGAAATGTTCAAACATGGTGTTGATGTTCATTTGGCAAGTTTGTCAGTGGTGCAGAACGGAGGGCCTGACAAGGACAGTGGTCTAGTCATTTGGATGAGATGAAAAACTGAGGTCCCGTGTATACATTGGAATGCACGTAAAAGATCCCTTGACAGTTGGAATTCGATATAAGAGTAGACGATAGTGGCGCTGCCCGGGCAAAATTTCTCTCATAGCACACTGTATGGCGTATGCCCGTCTTCATTAGCCCAGTATAGGAGCAGAACAGTAGGATGTTAAACCCCATTTCATTTTCATTTCATTACATTAATGTTCAAGTAATTAATAAGTGTCATCTATATATTTTGTGATAAAGGCGGGGGACATCAGCCTCATTGTTGGCTTGTTTTATTTGTTTTTCTGTCTTAACGTTATTTATTTTAGTTGCTTCTACGTAAATTTGTAAATAAATGAAGAGTCCAGGGGAAGAACGATCTAAGTCACATTTTTGTCTTTTCGCATAAAAGCCAAAACAGACTTTTGGACGAGAATGCTTGACGCGAAGAAAACAACGAATGGGTTTAATTACAACTTCAAAATGATGTTTTATACGAATCATAATTACCAGTACAACAACTGACTTCCACTTTTCAGCCAAATTAAGGTCAAATAAAGGGTATGATGGACGTATTTGTCCGGGAGGTCATTTCAGAAGGGCCTTGGTTTGATGTGACTCAGAACATTTTTACCTGAAATTTATTGTTCCACAGAAAAGCTTATACAAGTGACTTAGATCGTTCTTCTCTGGGGCTCTTCAAATTTGTCTTGTAATCGAATCAGATAATTAACTCAAATACACAGATTAGATATGTGTGAATAAATTTATGTGTAGTGTTTAGCTTTCATATGTTGAGTGAAAACCTGTTTGATTTATTAAGTCCATAAAAGTAATTTACTAAAAAGATAATTAACTAATTATTTATTAATCTTTTAGGGGTATTTAGTAACTGGATAGAGCAATAAACTATATCACATATCTATAGAAAACAGCTTCTCGTTTATTTAGGCGACAGTTTCAAAGTTAAATAGCTTTGAGTGAATACTCTTGTAAACATCATCCAAATAAATTAAGAGAGCCACGGTGTCTAGGTGCTTAAGATGCTGACTTGCTAACCTGGAGGTCGGGTTTTCGATCCCTGCATTGGCCGAATTGGTTCATCTGGATTTTCTGACGTGGTTTCCCCTTGTCAGTGGTGCAGAACAGAGGGCCTGACAAGGACAGCTGTCTAGTCTTTCGAATGATACGAAAATGCATGTAAAAGATCCCTTGGCAGTTGGAATTCGATATAAGAGTAGGCGAAAGTGCCGCTGCCCGGGCAAAATTTCCCTCATAGCACACTGTATGGCATATGCCCGTCTTCATTAGCCCAGTATAGGAGCAGAACAGTAGGACGTTAAACCCCATTTCATTTTATTTCATCCAAATAAATTAAAAGCTGTTTTCTATAATCATGTGTTATAGTTTATTCATTATTTATTGTAAAAATCCTGGCCCCGTGTTCACAAAGCATTCTCAGCCTTAAAGTTAAGAATTTACTCAAAATTGTTCGCCTTATTTTAACAAAAATATAGCTTTTTATAAAACTTGTGTTGTTTTAATGTATCAAATACATGAATAAGAAACTATTTCTAGATCAAAGATATTTCTCATAAACAGTGATTGAAAGTTGAGTAAATTCTTAACTTAAGTCTGAGAATGCTTTGTGAAATTGGGGCCTGATTCTGATTTACACAATATTTTCAATATTTTATTTGAACTTGTTTCAGAGCGGCTCTTGACACACCAAATAATAACTCGAAGAAGTCGGACAACGGATCGGCTAATAAATCTTTTAATAGATCTTTTCGAAGCAGTTCAACTTCAGATGACGCGTCACGGGGACGCTTGAGTTTTCGGGTTAGTATTTTTAGTTCATGAAGTTTTATTTCTTATGGGTCTTGATGCATAAACAGCCACCCAAAGGAACCGTTTTTTGTTTCATATTTCAGAAGTTAAATATTTGGAATTAAAGTAGCTATGTCTCTAACTCAATATCATCCAAAATCTGCGATATTGAAAACACAAATTATTTGTCAATTTAAATCAACATTGATGTTGTGATCTTACAGGGACAAGATGGGCTTCTGATATCCAATATTTAAGACAAGATAAACATTTTACCATTGGTACACGAATCGTGTACCATAATGCGTTTCAGTGTCAATTGTAACATTTACCCGAAGAACGAGGCTAAACATATTCCACAAGTCATATCATTTGGTGACGCCATATTTTTATCTGGAGAGCATCCACAATAAATACTATCGGTGTAGACTGGAATAACCAGACGCTAGAGATTGCCATTCGATTGAGACTTTTGGCATATTTCACCGAACATATGTGATTTGAAATTAGAGTAAAAACAGAAACATTTGAAACTAAACATTAATTGTGTATGTTTGTTTTTTTCAGGGTTCGTTAAGTAGAGCGTTTGGCAAAAAGTTTAAAGACGATCTCAAATTAGCTTTTGATGACACACCAAAACGTAAAATATCGTCACCTATTCAAATTCAGCATAATTCATTAGATTCTGTGGCTGAACCGGATTCTACGCCAGTATAGGTTAGTTGTTAACAAATCTCTACAAGAAATTGTAAACAACAAACTACTCGTCGAGGCAGTCCATCGAAATAAACCGAATTCAAATAATGATTACGGACAGTGGAGTCTCTTTTCTTAGTCCCGTGAATTGAATATCGAAGGTTGAATGTTTGAAGTGTAGTAAAATAGGATTATTGCCAGTTTCGTTACGAATATGATGGTTGTACAGTTGTGTTCATGTGAAAGGTGACGTCTACTTGGTGAGGATATGGTGGGGGGGAATCCCCTTTAATGAGTCAAAGATGGTTGAATTTGATAGTAGAAATAATATAACCTGCTCTTAACATGAAGAAAGGTAATCCATATTACCTGTGGATTATTACCTTTTTTTGTCTCCATAATTTAACATCGAGATCAGATCTTAACATGGATTACTGTACTTTTAGTAAAGGGTTAATTCAGCGCGGAAATTATTATAATGAACGGTGAATGGCTTTGAATACCTGTCGATTACCTGTAGCTGGAATTATTCTGGTGCTGTCAATTACAACTGACGCAAGCATTGAAAATTGTTTAAAAAGTGATGTGACTCAGAATAAAACCTGACGCTATTATATGGAATGCAAGTCAGTGTGGTTGTTTGTTTTTGCTTGTCAAAGATGAGAGAGCACTCTCCTCAAAACATCGCTAAAATAACAACCAATTGATGAGTGTATTCCGTATCTGATAGTCATTGGGGGTACTCGATTGAATGTTCCAGAATTGAACTCTCTCAATCCCAAAAATAGTGACAATCGAGTGAAAAGGTGGATTTCGGGCTACAACGCATGCGTCGACTGAATAAGTAAATATCTCGACCAAACATGCAGCCGAAACCGTTTAATTACGTGACGATTCTACTCACACCACTGTGACAGAACCGAATTCGCGTTACGCGATTGCAATTCTGTCAATTTTGGACTTTCTGGACTGTGAATCGAGCATCCCCATTAAGTCATGGTTTATGATATTACATGTACAACATCTGTGTATTACATAGTATATTCAACGTTTGTTATTTAGAGTGTGACGTTTACTCAGATCTATATATAGAACGAGAGAAAGAATGTGTGTGGATTATTAGAAACTATTTTATATCAAATATCAGATTAAAGAAACAAATTCACAGTATTCATTCTACATTCAGGGTTTATGTAAACATTACCTGTCACAGATGTGGTCTAAGGGGAGATAATAGGTAAATTATGGATTATCTCCCTTGGTTTTAGAACTTTCAAAATTCAACCACACTTTTCATTCTTCAGGATTCATGTGATCATTACCTATCAAACAATTTTTATATATATATATAAAATTAATTCTAGAAATTTATTTCTTTTTTTTAAACTGTTAGTTCTAGAAATATTTTTCTTTTTTCATTTAAACTGTTAATTTTTCATTCAAATTTTTTAATTCTAAGAAAGATTTTTTTTCATTTAAACTGTTAATTCTCTGAGAAAGATTTTTTTTTCATTCAAACTGTTAATTCTAGAAAGATCTTACCTGTCTCTCCTTCATCAATATTACATTATTTCATATCTAATAAGTCATCTATTGGTATTTAAATATTCATGATTATATCTGTGCCTTTTATTTCATACAAACCCATCTGATTAAAGTACAGATCTATATTTCATTTTGTTTTCTTTATACTTTCGATGGCCTACACTACATAAAGATCTGACAAGTTGTATGCAAAGTTAGTGTCAGGTGTGTTACAAGCGGCTTTTGACCCTATGACGTCAGATATTGGCGTTTCTAGTGGTTTACCCACAGATCCGTGCATGGCACGCCAAGAAGTCGCCGTAACAGACTTTCATTGGCTTATCTCTTACTTCAATATAACAACTCTTTCAGATCTTAGTGTAGTAAAGACAAGTAAAATGAACGGTAAAAAACGTAACGAAACAAGATCTGTTTTTTAATCCGATTGAATATAAACTAAGGATGTTGAATTATATTTTTGCCGTTCACTGATGGGGAAACTGTTTGCAGAATTTACTGGTAGATGTATTACGAATGGTCAGATATAAGTTATGACTCGTTCATCATCAAAGAACATATATTTCATTGTTCAATTACCAATTAGGCTTAGCACTTAATTACAGCATATTTCATTTGTCAGATATCATTTTTATATCAAACACACACATCTCCAATTAAGCATGCTAGAAATTTAGCAATCTGATAAAAACATTTATAGTTCTAATTTCGTTATACTCTTCATACAATAAGATCTGAAAGAATTGTCAAATAACCTACTTTCCGATGGATGTGAGAGATTAGCCAATCATATAGTCTGTTGAGAAAATTTCTTGTCGTCTACCATGTGGAATTATGGGTAGACATTCACAGCGATAGAAAACAAATCAAAACAGAAGTTGTATTTCGGAAAAAAACACAAATAAAAAATCAACGCTGATTCGTTAACCAATGACTGACGTCGTAGGATCAAAATCCGCACGTATGATCCCCTAACGTGACCTTCTAGTACAACCGGTCAGATCTTCATGTAGTAGAGGCCATCGAAAGTATAAAATAACGAAACAAAATATAGATCTGTATTTTAAATCAGATTGAAAATTTAGTTTTTAATAATGATTATAGATTGATAGATGCTTTGTGCAATAATTATGTTGCCTTTTATATGTAAATGTAGGCCTACATGTAAATATAGGCCTACATGTAAATATAGGCCTACACATGTAAATACTACAGCATGTAATTTATTCTTGTATTTAAACCCCCCGCCACGCTCTGCTTAACACAACAGTACAATCTATCTATCTATGCACGTCATAACTGCTCGACTTAAAAAATTGACCGAAATTTTTTCGGAAACCATCAGTCGATTTACACACCATAAAACTAGCATATTTTTCAAAACCCTAGTTTCAGACATGGCTACGATCGACCTTTGGACGGCATAACTATAATGTCAACGGGCTGTATAGATTAGCGCGCACGTATAAAAGCGCACAGCCGTGTACGTATAAAAGCCACGTCACGGCTCATGATTGCACACACAGAATTGTGATATAATACAAACGAACCAATCGTTACAAAAACTCTTAAGTGTCCCAATTAATTTTTATCAAACTTTTACGTATTACTACACCTGTTTATAAGATTTTAAAATAAATTTGACCAGCTCCATATTTTTAATTTTTGATAAACCACAATGAATTGCCAATTTTACACGGACCACAATTTGAATCGGGTAGCGAGTAAAAGGAGCTTTAAAGATTTTTTAATGAGTGATGATGAAAGGATACGAATTTGATCTAGGATAGAATATTAAACCCCGGCTAAATCTATTTGTCAAGGCCAGCTCAATTTTTATCAAGGTCTCTGATATGTAAATAAAGTTAGTGCACATGATTGTTGGCGAGATTGTAGGTTAGGTTTAGAGTAAGGATTAGGGCAGGGTCCAGGGATTGGCACTAGCCCTGTTTACTTCTGTGACCTATGACGAAAAATTGAGCTGGCCTTATAATTTAACACTGACCAGTATCTCATAGTTCCTTTAAATCTAGTCGTTATACACTCGAATTAAATCAATTTATCACCTGTCATCACTCACAGATCGTTTATATTTATATAGTTTTAAAATAGCAAGGTGTTTTTTTTTAATTGTGAAATATGTAAATGTATTGTCATATATTATAATTTATTGTGTATTATTCAATGTTAATTGTGATATAAACAAAAAACAAAACTAAATTTTGTAGAATTATTAACATTATATTTTAGCAGAAGTTGTAAATATATTTTATCAGATTTTGAATAGATTTCTTCATTTTTACCAATTTGATATAAAATTTTAATTTCTCTTAGTTGTGAATGTTTATAATTATTATTATTATTTTAAAGGCAGCAAGCATTTAACGTAAGGATATTCAAAACGCTAAAAAACACATGCCTGTCATTTACACAAATTTAAACGCTTCTTTTAAGAAATGTGCGAAACTTTAAAATAGAAATTATTTTTAAAACCATTCTTCAGCGTTATTTTTTTAACTGGTATGATCAAATCTACTTCCTATCTAATTTGATCCTTCAACATTAATTATTTAACTGGTATGATCATACCTACTGCCTTTCTAAATTTTTTCTTCAACATTACCCAATGGCATATCTGCTCCATTGACGTTACCTGTCTAAATTAATCCTTCAACTTTAATTATTAAACTGGTATAATCAAGCCTACTTCCTGTCTAAATTGATCCTTCAACTTTTAATTATTATTAAACTGATATGAATGAAGAAATTAGCCAGAAAGTCCTATTTTATTCTGATCTATATTATATATCGTGTTGTTGATGGTAAAAGTTTTACCCTTGTTTTTATTTCTGTTAAATATGTTCTAATTGTGATCGTGTCAATCTGTATATAAACCTATTTGTATATGTTGAACCAAAATATCTTATTCCACAGAATAAATTTTTTTATTAAATGTATTTAAACAACCATCCTTTTGTTTTCTTTAAAGAGACATGATGCTTTGATTTGGAGACACAGTGGCTAAGACGCTGGTTCGCTAGTCTGGAAGTCACGTGTTCAATCCCTGCATTAGCCGATAAAGTTCAATGGGATTTTCGGACATGATTTCCGCATGTCAGTGGTGCAGGACAGAGGGCCTGACAAGGACAGCTGTCTAGTCGTTCGGATGAGACGGAAAACCAAGATCCTGTGTAAAAGATCCCTTGACAGTTGGAATTCGATATAAGAGGTGGCCCAGGCAAAATTTCCCTCATAGCATGACATATGCCCGTCTTCATTAGCCCAGTCCGAGCAGAACAGTAGGACGTTAAACCCCATTTCATTTCAGTTTTCTATTTAAAGAGATAAAAGTGTCTTTGTGTGATTGGAGATCAGATCTAGTTCGTCTTAACATAATAAACGATAATGAGAGAGAGAGAAATGGGGTTTAACGTCAACTCGACACAACCTAGGTCATTTCGGGACTAACATATGGTTTAATTTTATTGCAATAATTTGCTTGCGCGTAGGGGTCTTTAGCAGTGGGAGGAAACCGGAGGACCCGGAGAAAATCCACGAGCTTGGACAGGCGACCCTACTCCTTGTCACGTACAACCAGGGATTCGAAACCACGCCAGTCGATTCAATGACAGACTTTATGAATAAACGATAATATATCACACTCAAATTAATTCCAGCAAGTGCACAAATTACACATCCCATGTTGGTTTGATTGACATTGTAGTCATTTATTTTATAATGATACAATTTTACAACAAGTTTCAATACAGTATGAGTCATGTATATTAAAATCACGCAAATATTAGTCTGGTTATCTCCCCTTTGCCTTACACACAAGCGCAAGAAATAGTCATAGTGTTTTGACAACTTTCAAGAAGTTGGAAGAACTATCACATCTGTGGTCTAAGGGGAGATAATAGGTAAATTATGGATTATCCCCCTTTGTTTTAGAACTATCAGAATTCAGACATGACTTTCTGACAACTTTCAAAAAGTTGGAAGAACTATCACATATGTGGTCTAAGGGGAGATAATAGGTAAATTATGGATTATCCCCCCTTGTTTTAGACCTATCAGTATTCAGTCACACTTCTTTTCATAACCATTTATTCCTTTAGGATTTATATATAAATATCATCCACATCAGTAGCATCCATTCTGGAGAAGACAATAAAATTATCCATCTTGATAACTACAGTAGAATCTGTACGACCAGCTGTTCCTACTTGAGGACATCTCCATGTAAGTGGTTGCTGAATACAGATTCCACTGTATGTGACATTAGCTTGTGTCCATATTCCAGTTATAAGTTAAACTTCTATCTTCATCAACATGGATACTGATTATGTGGTGACCTGGAATCATGGCTAATCCTAATATTCTCGGTTCTTCTTTTTCACCACTATCTAAAAATACAAATAAATACATATTGATTGCCAGACAATGAAAATCACACCCAAACCATACAAGATAAAATAAAATGAGGTTTAATGTCCTGCTCCTAAACTGGGCTAATGAAGATGGGCTATGCCATACAGTGTGTTATGAGGGAAATTTTGCCATGGCAGCGGCACTATGGACTACTCTTATATCGAATTCCAACTGCCAAGGGATCTTTTATGTGCACACCAATGTATACATGGGACCTCAGCTTTTTGCAGCATCGGAACGATTAGACAGCTGTCCTTGTCAGATCCTCCGCCCTTCACCACTGACAAGGGAAACTACGTCAGAAAATCCCGATAAACTTTCTTGGCCAATGCAAGGATGGAACATGCGACCTCAAGGCTACCGAGCCAGCATCTTATCCACTTAGCCACCAAAGCATACAAGTCAATCGAATTATAACATTAGCATTTAGAGCATCCACAACAATGGACCGACCGGCAAAGGTGATGACAGTATACAACGAAATTTGGGCATATACATGTGGTGTATATATATGAAGAGCCCCGGGGAAGAACGATCTAAATCACTTTTTCAACGAACCCCAGTTAATGGCGCCATCTGGTAGCAAATTGTATAAGCTTTCTGTGGAACAATCAATTTCAGGTAAAAACGATCAGAGTCACATCGAACTAAGGCCCTTCTGAAATGGCCTCCTGGACAAATACAAGTCCATCGTATTTATTTGACCTTAATTTGGCTGAAAAGTGGAAGTCAGTTGTTGTACTGGTAATTATGATTCGTATTAAACATTATTTTGAAGTTGTAATTAAACCCACTCGTTGTTCTGTTCGCATCAAGCATTCTCATCCAAAAGTCTGTTTTGCCTTTTATGCGAAAAGACAAAAATGTGACTTAGATCGTTCTTCCTCTGGACTCTTTATATATAATTAATGGATCTGGCTTATTTTTTAAAGCCCTGATTTCACAACCAACATTCATAAAGACAACTAAATTAACAAGATGGCCAACTTGAAACTGTGTTAGTAAAATAGGCTACGAGAGAAACAACCTAAATATCTCATGGTCTTAAAATAGAAAAAATATTTTAAATAGTAATTGGACCAGTAACTGGGCCCAACTGCTAATCATTTTTTTGTTTTTGTTGTTTTGGGGGTCGATAATCATCGAAAAAAGGCTATATTCTTTGAAAAATGTCTAGCCTCCACTAATTCATGTACTATCGACACGAAACATGGCATGCATGTTCCTTCGACAATTGTTTGTGCATTGAGTGAGAGACTGCTGGGATATCCGTACTTGTTGTTGTAGTAATATTTACCTGGTGATTTTAAATATTCTTCACAGGATCCTAATATCACATTTCTATCTCGATCTGTACACAGAAATATTCCTGAAATAAAACAAAACATCATGATCTATACAGATATATTTAAAGGCTCAGGTTTATATAGGAGATAAATTATCCCAATATCAATAACAATGGCAAAAGAATTAGGTTCACAATTGCTTTTTACAAGAACACATCATTTTATATATTGATGTCAACTTGGTCTGTCCATCCACAGATCAGAGTTTTTGAAAGTTTTTTTGGAATCACAGTGATTGTACAGCTAGTTATAATTAGGGAGAATCCCTACTGAACACTATCATAATTCAGTACTGTAAATAATTTACAGCCTCTTACAGATATCTAGAGATTTTTTCTGTAAAATTTTGACCCATGTATTGATTTCACATTATAAATATACCTGAAAGGGTCACTACCTTTCCATTGCCAAATATCTTACTGAAACTGTAATACATTACTACTTTAATATTTCAAATAGCATAAGTATCTATCAATGCTGAATATTTAACTGAATGGTTGGCCATTACTTACCTATCAATGTTCTACCATCAGTCATGCATATTTTCATGCTTTTATTCAGCCATCTTTGTAGTTTTCTTCTTCCACTTTTCAACCCCGGGTCATTTTTTGTTTCATTCTAAAAAAAAAAATATTTTGTTTTTAATTTTTTGTCTAATGAATGTTTAAATAAATTGTTCCAATGGTATTTAGTCATTGAGTTGTAAATACCAGTACTCGGGATGTAATTCTATGGAATACAAATTACAATTACTGATGCTTGCTGAGTGATATCAAATCAAATGAATTTGTAGGCATACCAATAGTTCCTTTTGGAATGGTCTCTAAACTGACAAAGTTTTCTCACCATTTCTGTCCATCCTACGACATTTCAGCTGCAAGTGCAATACCAAATTAATGAAATACCACCCTGTTCTTAAATCTTATTTTGATGTCGCTAGAAATGAACCTATATTGTGAACAGAGAACAATTATGGTGAATAATTGAAGGTAATGACTCCAAAATAGACTTAGAAAAGAAGTGAGGGTACAGCGGTATTTTCATATTGCAGCTTATACATGTCGGGACGGATTGTAAGTATTGTAACGCCAACGGTCAGAGGAGATCGTCCGTCCACAGACCGTTTAACGTTATCAAACTAAAAGGAAGTTAGGAACTACAATGATACCAGTAGTTTACACTCAAATTAAGAAAAGTTTTACTTGCACGGAAGAATGAAAGTTGTCGCTATGCCGCAGGCCTCTTATTTATATTACAACTGCAACCCTACTAAGCTCTGATAAACATAGTTGTTTCGAATTTCTTTAAAAAAAAGGTTTATAATATTAAAATTCCTTCTCACACTTATTTCAGTAGCCATTTTAGATTCCAAAATTGATAAAAACAAAAACGAAATACCAGATTTTAATATAATTTTAGTTAATTATTAAATAATTCCTAATTATTTAGAACTGATAGAAAATGGTGACCATTTTTATAAACTAACTAATTATTCAGAAGATAAAAACTTTTTTCATTCTTTTTTATATGTCTAATTTCGTTTACTTTTATATTATTATCTGATTTTTAAATACCAAACAAGTCATGCGTAAAGACTCACTTCCGCTACAAATCTTTTGTTGACATTGACAACAGTATTTTTCTATAACAGTAATTTATTTCTCAATGCTCTAGTTTTCGGCCACTGCACCACAAAGATGGGACGACCTAAATATTTTACACCAAATGAAGTATCTGTTCACAATACTATAGATGATTTATGGGTGTCATTTCTGGGAAAAGTATATGATTTGACTCCTCTCTGTGAAAAATACAAAGGTAAACAAACTAAAGCTTAATCTGATGGAGTTGCTGAATAGCCTATATTATAAAGACAGTTGTAGGATTGTTGTATATATTTATCATACTGACTTGGATTTAAATCTGATAAATATACAAACCTCTGGATTTATTCTTATACATACGTAACATTGTCACGTAAAAGAACATTACCTGTAAACTTATGTTATGTGAATAAATCCGATACCGGTACTCTATCCATAAAAATATATAAAAACTGTTCAAAATGTCCTGTAAAAATTAATATGTAACAGGCATTGCCTGAGTAGAGCGAAGCTGATTATTGTCAAATATAAAACCTTCATAATTAATTTTCTCAAGTGATACAAAAAATGTTAAATAATTTAGTTTTTCCAAATTGATTTTCATTTAGATCTAAATTGTATACATTAATTTTGTTTTTTTAAAAAAGAGCAAAAAAGTGTGAGAATTATTTTCATTGACATTGGGCGAGATTTGGTAAGTTGACATGCGCATTGCCTGTTTTGCCCAGTGTATCCGGTTCCGGTCTGAATTTTTTTTTAATCAACAGTCTGTGGGTGACAATTTCAGTTACGCTCCTGTGTTACCGGAAAAGAGCTTTGCTCAAGCACCGCGCTTCGTCGATGCTGTAGAGCTTTGCTCTATATTAAATAGAGATAGGATGATTTGCAATAAAAGGTGAATTGTTTTGTTCGTTTGCCCAAAGGAATAGCGACTGTGTTTCCACCGACTCTTTCATCAAATTCCAACTAGCAAGTTTGTCTTTTGTATGTAGGCCTACACAAATTGTGTAGGTGACCTCAGGTTTTTCATCCCATCTGAATAACTAGGTGGTATTCATTGCCAGGTTCTCTCTCCATCCAACATAATTGACAAGGGAAAGCCAAACTTAACAATCAAGAGGAACATCCTCAGCCAACACCAGTGTCCAACCTGTGACCTCCTGGTGATTGAGCCAGCATCTTACTCACTGAGCCACTGCAGCTCCCCTTGAAAGTATTGATGTGTCCGTACTAGAAATTATATTTATATTTCCTATACAGGTGATGTTTTATTGAAACCCATTTTACAGACAGCTGGTAAAGATATTTCAAATTGGTTCAATCCTAAATTAAAAGATGTAAGTTTTTAATCTGTGGTACTGTCACTATACAGGTTCTAATCGTTATCTTCTTCTCTACTTGTCGACAGTTTAATTCTCAGTGTTTTTTTTCAACTGCCAAAATAACAAAACCTTATGTTGTGCCAAAGATTGTTTCAGATCCAATATCAAATATCTCGGTTCTCATTGGGTTTAAAACGTAGATCATTGGACAGGAGATTATACTACTTCTAATCAGTCATGCTCATTGGATGTTTTGGCCACCGACGTTACCCAGATAGCAGACCTACAGCCTAATTAAAACACAGATCCTATTTCGTTTTGATTTTTATAGTTTAAAATTTTATTTTACTTGTTACTACCCAAGGATCTGGAAGAGTTGTTTTGGCATGAGGTGCAGGGAACTGTGGGTAACCCACTAGAAACATCAACGCTGATTGATTAAACAAATGTCTGACGTCAGGGGTTCAAAAAAGTCGCTCGTATGACCCCTGACGTGGGTATCCTTATCCTACTACAAACGTCAACTTTGATTGGTTAATCCAATGTCTGACTTCATAGGTTCAAAAGCCACTCGTATGACCTCTGCAGCGACCTTCCACTACAACCGGTCAGATCTTCTTGTAGTAGAGGCCACTGAAAGTATAAAAAAACCGAAATGAAATATAGATCTGTATTTTAGTCAGATTGAAGATTTGTCTACTGTGTGATAATTTGTGTGCTGTGTGATAATTTGTGTGCTGTATCATAAGGACTGTCATTGAGTCAACTGGCGTGGTTTCGATTCCCCGGTTGTACGTGACAAGGAGTAGGGTTGCCTGTCCAACCTCGTGGGTTTTCTCCGGGTGCTCCGGTTTCCTCCCACTGCTAAAGACCCCTACGCACAAGTGAATTATTGAAATAAAATTGAACCATGTGTTAGTCCCGAAATGACCTAGTTTGTGTCAATGGATGTTAAACCCCATTTCTCTCTCTCTTATATATGATATTATAAATGATGATATTATTATTTTCAGATACGAACACACATTGATCCGTTAACTGGTTGTATAATACCGTATTGTCCAAACGGTCGTTTTATTCATATTCCTCCTCCGTACCCAGATAGCGATTGGGCAAATGATTTTGGTCGTCCCTGGTGGAAAGATGAATCATACGCTGTTGGAATTTTATCAAAAAAGACACGGTTTATTAAAATCATCAACACTTTAACATCACAAGAACAAGTCATTGAGGTAAGTGAGATATAGCTGATTGTGTAGCAGGCAGAGTTTGGGGGGCATGCATGGTGTGGGGTGGGGGTAGAGGCGGGGACGACCCTGGGCATCCATTTCAGTGTCATGTTTTGAAACTAACATATGGTCATTTTTGTGTGCTCCAATACATCAGTGTTTCGGCCTGTTCTTCATTCGACTAGAGAGGGGTGGGTTTTTTAGTATCATAAGGTCTGTCATTCCGTCGACTGGTGTGGTTTCGATTCCCCAGTTGTACGTGACAAGGAGTAGGGTTGCCTGTCCAATCTCATGGGTTTTCGTCGGGTCCTCGGGTTTCCTCCCACTATGTGCAAGCGAATTATTGACGTAAAATTGAACCATGTTAGTCCCGAAATGACCTAGTTTGTTTCGAGTGGACTGTAACCCTCTCTCTCTCTCTCCCTCCCTCACCAAAAGTAATCCTTTACTAACATTTGGCGAGTTATCGGTTTATTCCACTAAAAAAACTTGGTTGGATTATTTAAAACTTGTTCAGCATGATTTGTTGAATGTACTCAGAGACCTGACAATAATTATAATCCAAGTAATTGTTTTTTTATTTCAGGTCTGCTCCGAAGAAAACATGTCCGAGATATTAGAGCGATATCTGAAATATAATCAACACGCGGCCAGTTACACATGGAAATATGATGGCCGAAATCTGGATATGAAGAAAAATCTAGAAGATAATACTATACCAGATGAAGATGAAGATTTCTATACCCTTAGTATGAATGATGATACGTTTTTACAGGCCATTCATCTTTATTTTAACGATGATTTAACGGAATCGTAATTCAACGGATAAATCAACATAAAGAAATATATTTGATATTTTATTTAAAGATGCATTATGTAAGAGCTAAATCTGCCTATTGAAGGTCTTTTTTATGGCTTCTTGTATTATAAAAATACATTAAGTATGAGCTAAATCTGCCTATTCCAAGTCTTTGTCTGGCTTCAAATATTATAAAAATTATTAATTAGACAATTATTCACATGGGAAACCTATAATAAACTCTCTAGACCATTGGATGGCTGATATTTAAATGGATTTGAACACCTGCGAGTTTTTAAAATTTTACGACAAATGGATAATGGAGACTTTGTGTTGATGATATATACCAGATCTTCAAACTGCCATAACATCGCCCCATATTCATTTCTCGTTATCTATTTTTGAACTATTCTAACAAGAACGGCCAGCTCTTTATCTAAATCTTACATAATGTATCTTTAAGGACGTTGATCCTCCCTCATTTGCATTTTTCAGAAAGTATCAACTTCTTAGACAATAAAATAGAACTCATTGATTATTAAATATTTAATTAAGAAATCAAAATGTCAACGTTGGATATTCACCTGGCTTGGATTCATTCAGATTTATAAGAGGCCCATCAAACATTATAGGTGGCGCTTGCTTGTTTTGTTTATATTTTGTCGTCTGCAGAATGTCAAATTTTTATTATATAGAAAGTGGTCTTTTAAAATTGTAAATAAAATGTATATTTATTGTTAAACTTATACGTAAATAAAAATACTTTGAAAATAGACCAAATAATTGTCATTATATTGTATGATAGCAAGCCTTTCATTTCATGACCATCTTTAATAGAAGGCTTGATCTCGCCATAACTCACTACAGTTTATTAAGCCCTTCACGTAAGTTTCCGGCGTGGTTCCCCCTTGTCAGTGATGCAGGACAGAGGACCTGACAAGGACAGCTGTCTTGTCCTTCTGATGATACGAAAAACCGAGGTCCTGTGTATACATTGGAATGCACGTAAAAGATCCCTTTGCAGTTGGAATTCGATATAAGAGTAGGTGATAGTGCTGCTGCCCTGGCAAAATTTCCCTCATAGCACACTATATGGCGCATGCCTGTCTTCATTAGCCCAGCATAGGAGCAGAACAGTAGGACGTTAAACCCCATTTTATTTCATTTTATTTCCTTCACGTAAGGCTAGATCTATTTAAGGTCAACTCAATTTTCGTCAAGGTCACCGAGATGTAAATAAGGTTAGGGCATGTGTTTGTTGGTGAGATTGTAGGTTAGGGTAAGCGCTAGATCCAGGGTTAGGGTTGGGATTAGCGCTAGCCCTGTTTTCATCTGGTGACCTTTGACCAAACTTGAAGTTGGCCTTATCAAATAGATCTAACCCTTCACGTAATACCCCGCATATTTCGGCACTAATTTCGATTGGTTACTGACCCAACTTGAGAGCCTTTTAGATTCCTCGATCATAATGAATACCACGTTTCATGCTTTCCAGCTAAAATGTCTACCTTTTATAATTGAGTTTCAAAGTTCAAGGTTTGTTCAATGTCAAGGTTTCTGTAGAGGTTGCCATGTTTGGATTGGTTTGAGTGTGTTTGTGTCACAACCTTTGATTGGATGTTACTGTTCCAGGAGCGGATCAAGGAATTTTTGCAGGGGGTGGGGGGTCATGTTCCTAAGACACTGTATCTCCCCCCCCCCCTCCCGCATGGTCTCTATCGTCATTTTGGCGTATATACATACACATTGAGCTTTATAAACAGAGAAATCCAACACCTCGTTTGACGTCAATTTTTATTATGAATTAATACAATGACATTGTGATTCAATTTCAAACCCACCCTCTGGATCCGTCCCTGTGTTCACATGTCTTCGGTAAAGGGAGATAACGTTGTAAATACACATAAAAAAATTGTGCTAATGCTTAATGGTGAGAGAGGAATGGGGTTTAACTTCAACTCGACACAAACTAGGTCATTTCGGGACTAACACATGGTTCAATTATATTTCATGGGAGGACCTGGAGAAACCCAGGAGGGTGGACAGGCAACCCTACTCCTTGTCATGTACAAGCTTGGTATAGAAACCCAACGACTCAATGACAGACCTTATGATCTAAAGCTTACATGTTATATCGACACCCCCCACCCCCCTTGTAAAGAATAAATAAGACAATTGTTATGTTATATTTATTGACAAAATGAATGTTACCAACATGATGACAGTCATTTAGAAAAACTTTTACAGTAGAAATATTGAAGAAAATGCTAAAATAAACTGTATTAACAATATTTACACATGGGTTATGGGCAATCAGAGTCAAATACAGATCTATATTTCGTTTCGTTTTTTTTATACTTTCGACGGCCTACACTACATGAAAATCTGACCATTTGTAGTGGGAGGTCATACAAGCGACATGTGACCCTATGACATCAGACATTAATTGATTAACTAAATACTGTTAATGTTTCTAGCAAGATACCCACAGTTCTGTGCATTGCACAGCAAGAACTCACTGCAACAGACCGTTTCATTGGCTAATTTCTCACATCAACCAGAACGCGGGTTATATAACAACTCTTGCAGATCCTAGTGTAGTGAAGAGAAGCAAAATGAAATTTTGAAATAAAAAATGAAACGAAATAGGATTTGTGTTTTAATCAGATTGGGTTTAGGGGAAACCAAATTAATTTTCAGTTCTTCGGAGCCTTAATAAAGAAGATAACTACTTGTGGGTCCCGTCAACAATTTATTTATTCAAAATGAGAATTAAAAACCTTTGAGCAGAGCCAACAAAAATCTTTAATGTCCTACTGTTCTGCTCCGACTGGGCTAATGTAGTCGAAGGTTAATCAAGCTCCCATTCCCTTTAATATAACCCGATTTCAACAAAAATAATTCTTGGTAATTTGTTATGGAGAATGTTGTATTCTAATGTATGTGATTAGCAACAAATCATGAATCATCTACTGGTGTGGAGAGTTGGTCCCCAGTGTGTGATTGCCATTTAGAGCCTGTCTGTACACCGTTTTAGACCATTAAAGTATGACCAATATAGAATGTTGATATCTAACCTATTTCAAGTCAATCCTAAAGCAGTAAAGAAAATAACTGACATAACATCAAATTATTCCAACCTTATAAATTATTTTAGTAATTTTTCTGCAGGTTGGCCATTTTCAAATAACCCCTCCTGTCTAATTTCTGGGTTAACCCTTCAGCCAGCATGATGCTGTACTACAATTTAAAACACGTGAAAAATTACTAGAATTTAACAAAAGGAAATCGATTGATAAAATTAGATCTAATTGTTAAAAACTTTGTAACAATATATACACAAAGAACCAAGCTGACATAAATTTATAATAACATGACACAGGATCCATCTCATGTGAATGACATGTCAAAACTAAGTTTATTTAAAGTTTTAAAGTTACAATTTCATATTTTGAAGTTATATTTTTATAAAGTATTAAAATAAAGCCTTAAAATAGATGGTATCTATAAACAGTTCTACCTTGTTAAAGAATAGTCCTACTAATCCTATAATTTTCTATTGCCAGTTGAGAAATTGGCAAAAATATCATTTCAAATTCAAACATTTAAAGATAGCTATTCCATGTTGGGGAATAGAAAAACAAGGGAGGTAATTGTGTTATTATTTCCGGTGTAAATGAGTTTTAAGTGTGAAAATGACACCTATGATCGTATAATAGTGAGTTGACAACCTATTGAGCAAAAGACATAGAAATAATTATGTTTTGACTTTCTTAGAAAATATGAAATTCTCGCTTTAATGAATGCAATAATTTCTCACTGATATTCAGAATACATAGTGATATTGTGACCATAATATTCAGAGGAAACGTAGAATCAAGAATCATAATGTCTAATAAATGTATCAGTCCAGGAAGCATTGAAATAAGGCACCTGTCATATGTACATGTATACATTGTCAGCCATATTATGGCCTGCAGTACAGGCCTTGTACCAATATTTAAAATAATGGTACATGTATATCAACATCAAAAATGATGTCATAATTGTATTTTACCATGAATAAATTATAATTCATTAAGTATGTAAAAGATGAAGTGAATTGAATAATATACAGACGAATAAATTGTCAGCTATATGGGCTGTACCCATAGGCGTAAGAGCCTGGGGGGCTGGGGGCGGCCATCCCCCCATTTTGGGCACCAAATGCTGGGAAAATTTGGGCACACAATTGTACTTTGTAAAAGTTGTATAAAAAAATATTGTGTTCTTGAATGCGTCCAATTTAACAGCGAATTTAAATTCAGAGTGTCTATAGTTAGGCAATTAAATAGAAATCTTAAGACTCGAACCCTCTATTGTTTGGAGTACAGTAAGTCACGAATTACAGTTACATAAACAACTGTTTTTAGTTGTGTATATTACAAGTAAATAAAATTTAATTCTTTTTTATTTAGAAATTAAGAACTTATTCATCGCAAAAGAGATATTATGATTATTATGTAACATACTAAGAACCTAACTACATTTTTGGGGCACCAACCACCACCGCCCCCCCAGTAAAAAATTTCCCCGTACGCCTATGGATGTACCAATATTTGAAATAATGGTGTATTAACATCAAAAATGATGTCACAACTGTATTTTAACATGAATAAATTATAATTCATTAAGTATGTAGAAGATGAACTGAATGATACACAGAATAATAAATGAACACATTATCATAAATTTATAAATACAAGTCGTTCTTTGAAGTAAAATTTTTGTGCTTTTTATGCATTTAGACTTTCAGAAGCTATGAGCTGTAAGCTTATACAGTTTTGAGGCCATCTTGTTAAAGAGTTACACAAGACGGTCCCACAAGGATGCGTACCTTACAACTACACGTAAGAAGTATGACCCAGGTACCAACCATGACATCATCGGCGCCATCTTGGAATTGTGACATTATATTATACATAAAAGTCCATCAATTGATGCACAATTGACGAAGAACAAGCATGCCCTATTTCTTGTCGATTGTACTCAAACAGGTTGAGCCTTAGGCTTTGTTTTATGATTACCAAGTATATTGATCCATTTCCTGGTTCCAAAAAACACCAACACACATAAAATGTCATGTAAAATTTTAAAAGTCGAATAAAAAAAACCCAAGTATGTTGATAGTACTATATGGACCAGGAAACGAGTATGACATCATCGTCGTCATCTTGAAATTTTCACGTTAGATCCAAGATTAACAGCACTTGGTAATTTGGATCCAGTTTCTGGTCCAAGATAAACAACACTTGAGAGTTGGGATCCAGTTTCTGGTCCAAGATAAATAATTTTGACAATAGATTAATGAATTGTTTTCCAGATTATTTAAAATCCATCAATGTCAGTCCTGGAAACACATGTACAGTTTCATTCCTACAGCTTTCTGGCATGATTTCTAAAAAAAAAGTCAAATTTTCGTGATTTTGAAAGAGAACCAAAACATCTTTAAACATGGCTGATAGGGATTGGGACAGCAGGGGTGACCTACAAAAACATATCTTCCCATTGTTATTTGTTACATGTATATCAGCTCAGCATCTCAAATCCATTTTTTAAAAAAATCTCCTTTGGATTGTTTTCTTTCGGGTCTATCGACCATGAGAAATCGCAAGTATTAATATCCCTGGATTATTTATCAGAGTTCAAAGGTTATCACAGTATCACAAATTTACAATAATTCTTTTTTTTTTTTAAAGATGAAGCACGAGGACGACAGATATAACGATAATTGTCAACAGCAAAAACGGGAACCAAGTCTTTAAAAATCCACATGGACTGAAACGATAGAACATGAAATAATATTAAACATGCATTATGCAAGAGCTAAATCTGCTTATTACAAGTCTTTCTTTAGGCCTGAAATGTTATATTAAACATGCATTATACAGGAGTTAAATCTGCCTATTGCAGGTCTTTCTTTAGGCCTGAAATGTTATCTAAATTATCAATTAGACATTAATTAACTTATCCAGACCATAATAAACTCTCGATGTCAAGGCTAACCTTCGATGTTGGCTGGATTAGATTCCTATATGCCGCTAATGGCCGTTGATAATTAAATCAATAAAAGTGGATAATCGAGACTAAGCTGTTTATATTAATGATTTTTGTAATGATGATCGAGACTATGCCAAAATTTCACACGCTTCTTTCTCGGCTCATAGTGGATCAATTTGACTGAAATTTTCAGCAAATTACCTTTACACTATCTAGTTTTTAACTATTATAGCGAGAACTGCCATCTCGTTATCTTATCTCCCATAATGTATCTTTAATTAAAGATATATTATGTAAGTTTTAGATAAAGGGAGAGAGAGAGAAATGGGGTTTAACATCCACTCAACACAAACTAGGTCATTTTGGGACTAACATAGGCTCAGTTTTATTTCAATAATTCACTTGCGCATAGGGGGACTTTAGCAGTGGGAGAAAACCGAAGGACCTTGAGAAAACCCATGAGGTTGGACAGGCGACCCTACTCCTTGTCACGTATAGCTGGGGAATTAACCATGCCAGTTGACTCAATGACTGACCTTATGATTCAGCGCACACATGCTAACCATTCGGCCATCCAACCCCCCTTTAGATAAAGCGCTGACCGTCCTTGCTATAATAGTTTAAAAATAAATAATCAAAAATTAATATATTGAAAATTTCAGTCAGTGTTTTTTAATATATTAAACTATTATAGCAATGTTATATTATTTAATTAAATTGGGATGGCATCAATTATTGTTTGAAGTCTATGGATATTATTAGAAATACATAGGTCACAAATATATTAAATAATTTAATATTTTAATAGAAACAAGTTGTCAATACTTACATATATAAAATCAATAATATTCAGAATAATAATATTCAATAATATTTTGAGCTAAAAACTAAGAGCCATTGCAGATTTTGTCACAGGTCACGAGATGTAAATAGGGTTAGGGTTAGGGTTAGGATAAGAATTGGAGTGAGGCACAATCTTGTCAACAATCACATGCCCTAACAATATTTATGACCTATGACAAAATCTGCAACTGCTCTTGGCTTTTATCATTTACCATACAGGAACTTTTTTATGTTTTTACTCATTTTCTATATATTACTTCTTCATATTTAAATAACTTCAATCAGTCCATAATATCATGTATATCGTATTAGACGTTAAATTTGTAATAAACAACATATTTATCAGTGTTGTTTATTCGATAAATGATCCTATGGATTTATTATAAAATTTTTTTAGAGTTACTTCCTGTAACCGGTGCAAAATATATACGTGCAGTTATAAATAAGACAGTTTTTATTTTTAATTATTTGAAATAAAAAAGTGTCATGCAGCCCTTTTTAAGTGACGAGGGATTAATTGAGAAGCATGTGTAAGTGACACTTTGTGTCTTTGTATACAAAAACTTTTTTATGTTATTACTACTTTCGTTTTTTATTACCCCTTCAAATGTTAATAACTTAATTAAATCAACCTGTCCATAATATCATGTACAATGTATTGGACATTAAATTTGTAATAAATTAAAAAATTATTACTTTTTTAGCACACTTAATTCCCTATCATGTCTTCAAGCATAGGATGGTATTTATTAAAATCAATTTACTAAGTAATCTTTTCAAAACATAAATTAAATTTATAAGAAAATTTTATTTACCTTACAAATTTTCCATATATCAGCATTAAAAAACATAACTTGATCATATTCCATGATGAACTGGAATCGTAATTCATTAAGTTCAACGCCATGGCAACATGTGAATGGCAGTTGTCACAACAAAGATTATGCTGGAGAGAAGAAATGAAGAAAATCAATATAAGGAATCTTGTAAGATAAGTGTAGAGTGAAGCCCTATACAGTCTATTACAAAATAAAACAATATTTCAGATTTTATAACTAGTGAGACGCAGAAAACCCCCAGAAGTTCATTGCCAAATATGGGGGTGAAGAGAGAGAGAGAGGGGGGGGGGAAGCTGCCCTTTATTGCAACAACTTTCTATCATAAGAAACTTCCTTCCGAAAACACAAAATATACTACACTATATTCTGTTCTGTCTACATTTATGACATCCACAACATCAAAATGAAATGAAATGGGGTTTAACGTCCTACTTTTCTGTACCTACTGGGCTAATTAAGACAGGCATACACCATACAGTGTACTATGAGGGATATTTTGCACGGACAGCAGCGCTACTTCCCAAGGGCTCTTTGACCTGTCCGCCAATATGTACACAGGACCTCAGTTTTGTGTGCCATCCGAATGATTAGACACCACTGACAATGAGAAACAAAAGTCGGAAATTCCTGATTAAATTTCTTTCCTAACACCGGGATCAAACCACGGCATCAAAATGGAGATTATAGAATTTACAAGAATTTAGAATTATTGACAATCAATACCTTCTCCTTTTTTTATATTCATCTTAGCCCATGGCATGGAGTATGCCCACCTCCATCAGCCTATGCCCACCTCCATCAGCCTACGCCCACCTCCATCAGCCTATGCCCACCTCCAGCCTACACCCACCTCCATCAGCCTACGCCCACCTCCATCAGCCTACGCCCACCTCCATTACCCTATGCCCATCTCCATCAGTCTGCGCCCACCTCCATCAGCCCACACCCACCTCCATTACCCTATGCCCATCTCTATCAGCCTATGCCCTGCTCCATCACCCTATGCCCTGCTCCATTACCATATGCCCATCTCCATTAGCCTATGCCCATCTCCATTAGCCTATGCCCAACTCCATTACCCTATGCCCAACTCCAATACCCTATGCCCAACTCCAATACCCTATGTTCCATTAGCCCAATTGGTGCAAACAACACTTAAACTAAAACCCCTCTTCCTTTACTGTAAACTTCTAATACTTCCCACCCTGTCCCAATATAATCATCAATTATCTTACCATTCTTTGTTTATATTCTTCTGAAGCTTCGTAAACACATTTATCCCAAGTTTCCCGCCCACCTTTTACTTTCGACAAGTCAAATTGCCAATATCTATTAAATAAATTACTGGTATATATTAAAATATAATAATAAATCATTTAACATGTATAGCGCCAAAATCTTGTTCGTAATGCTAATGCGTTTCGCTTGTACAAAATAAAAATATATGATTATAAGTACACAATGTAACACAATATAGATACGCTCGTATAATATCGTAAAAATTAAAATATTTGGTAAAACAAGATAATAAAATTAACAAAAAAGAAAAAAAATAGGAGGGTACAGGCTAGGTATAATTTGGTAAATGAGATAATCTTAGTTCAATAGATTTATATATAATGGGTGATTATAGAACATTTTTGCTGAATGTCTAATGTATGATTGTATTATGAAACATTTTGTTATAAATAAATGAAAAAAATATTCAAATTGAATAGGTTTCAAGGGAATCAGACCACTTTGGCTGCTACATCACTGGTTAAAGCTGATACTGAATCTAGGCCTTTTAGTAATGACAATTTTTGTCATTAATTGATATAAGTGGTCAATAATCTAAACTAATGTATAGTATGTATAGAAAGTGGTTAGAAATTATACAGTTGTCATTAATTAGCACTTAGCAGATGTGTAACTAGCTGTAAATGATTTCACTACTGGAGACTAATTATAACACCCATCACTATCCAATACACAAACCTGAACAATAGTGTTGTACATCAATCAATAATCACACTTTTAACAACTTAGTGACAAAACACCTACTTAATGACTACTGCCTAATTACTAATAATATTAATAAACTAATACACATTATGTATATAAACTGATGACTTTGAACTATTAGTGTTGTATATTTATAACAGTTATTTGTTACTTAGTCAACGATATCAACATTACAGTTCATTTACTAGAGGTGACAAAACTATGTGATCATAAAATATTTTTTTGGTATATGTAAGGTCCTCCAAAAATAATACTTGGGTTTCCGGTTATTTGGCCCCGGAAAATAGGCCTGGTTGATTGGATAATCTTCTCCTGTTTTTCTTGCATGGAAATTGCGGGGTAATATCGTCAAGAGCTAATTTAAATAATAATTTACATATGGTTACTATAGCCTTTGTCCTGTCAAATTGGGAGAGAGAGAGAAATGGGGTTTAACGTCCACTCGACACAAACTAGGTCATTTCGGGACTAACATATGGTTTAATTCTATTTCAATAACTCACTTGCGCGTAGGGGTCTTTAGCAGTGGGAGGAAACCGGAGGACCCGGAGAAAACCCATGAGGTTGGACAGGCGACCCTACTCCTTGTCACGTACAGCCGGGGATTCGAAACCATGCCAGTTGACTCAATGACAGGCTTTATGATACAGTACGCACATGCTAACCATTCAACCATCCAACCCCCTGTCAAATTGGGAAAATAATGCCAATTCAGACTGTTCTAAATACCAAAACTCAGTATTTACAGGACCTGGCAAATCAGATTTTGGCTAAAAAAAACAACCAACCGAAACAGCGTCTGTCGGGTAACTATTATAACAAGGGTAATTTATTGGTGGGGGTGGGGGGTAAGGGGGTGTAATAACAACTAATAACACTTTTCATAATACCATGTTATTTAAGCAAAAACAGCCAATAACAAATATTACCTGGTTGGAACACCAAATGTCATATTATCTTCCTGAAAACAACAACATTCTAGGTATAATATCAACAACAACATTCTAGATATAATATCAACAACAACATTCTAGATAAAATGTCAACAACAACATCATCTTTGGTCATGCCATAAGTTTTTCTTCTGAAAGTTCAAATTATTGGATTACAAGAACTTTCATGTCATAAATTATTCTTTTTGAAGTTTAATTTATTGGATTACAAGAACTTTTATGACATAAATTTTTCTTTTGAAGTTTAATTTATGAGATTATAATTAAGAAATTTCTTTATTTAAAAGTTTAATCAACCTCTATTTCTCATAGAGATACAGTATTGGCAACTGTCAGACTAAACCTGCTTTCATTAAAAACTACAATCTGTATCTACTAATGCAAATAATTTATTTTGTGAATATTATAAACAGTGACTTACTGCTACGTAGTATGGTCCCCCAAAATCTCTGATAACACCGGATGTCGACGCTATACCCATGTGACCTATAAATGGGAACAACCACCTGCAAAAATACAAAAAGGGTTTTTAACTAGGTTTACATGTATCTAACTTGAAACAAATCCCAGAAAGGGTTTTTAATTACTTAAAGATACATTATGGAAGATTCGATAATGCGTTGGCAGTTTTCACTATAATAGTTAAAAACTGGATAATGTAAAGACAATTTGCTGAAAATTTCATTCAAATTGATCCACTATGAACCGAGAACTAAGAGATTGAATTTCCGCCTAGCCTTGATCATCATTACTAAAGTCAGTACGATAAACAGCATAGTCTCGATAATCCATTTAATCGTTAAATCGTGAAGGAAAGTTATGCAGTAAATCGGCTCACAATCCACTAAAGATAACAGGCTAGCGCTTCCATCTAGAGTTGAATATAGTCTGGATAGGTTAATCAATGTCTAATTATTAATTTAGATAACATTTCAGGCCCAAAGAAAGACCTGAGATAGGCAGATTTAGGTCTTGCATAATGTATGTTTAACTTGAACCCAACCCATTAAACATTTCAATGAGATATGTTTAAATCAATCCAAAGACAGGTTGCATAGTCATAAAATATAGGTTCAAAGCAGAAGTCCTCAAAGGTTGTCGCATTTAGATAAATAAAAGGTAAAGTTTTCATACTGTCAAATATCACTGTCACCATGGACAAGATCCTATGACCATAATAAAGGGTAGTAACTCAGTAAGTAATTATCAGATATTGTTGAAATTCGATCAAAAACTTCCATCACGAAGATTCACAAGATTTTACGAAGTTTTCATACTGTCTTTAGCAGTGGAAGGAAACTAAAGGACCCAGGGAAAACCTACGAGGTTGGACAGACGACCCTACTCCTTGTCACGTACAATCAGCGAATCGAAACCACGCTACATGTAGTTGACTATGATTCAATGACAGACATTATGATACAAAATGCATGCGCTTTATGATACACCGCGCATGCGCTAACCATTTGGCCATCCAAGATATAACCTATATGTAGCCCAGATTACATTTGTGAGTTATTTTTGGAGGGGAGAATTCCCACACATGAAAAGTCGCCGGGCTCCGTGTTGGGTGCTAAGTGTGACAGAATGCCCCTGTCTGGAATCCAACCCAGGCATTGAATTCATACACCCTTAGCGAGTGTGCCAAGTGGAATTTCCAACAACTAAGTCAGTATAGGGGTATATTTAACAACTCAAGACACCACAGGACATACCAATCTATACGTCCCAAGATATACTATAACATATCACACCACATATTTAGGCCTACATGTGATGTAGATCTAGGCCTACATGTAGGGCCTACATACATGTAGTACTACATACATCTAAGCTACCTGAGCACTACTACATGTAGGTGGCTACATGTAGGCATGTATGGTCTGGTCCTCCTGCACATTTGTATAGGCTACGGTACTGTACACGTATGTAAAATTTCCTTTGCACAAAGCCACGCACTTCCAGCAAAAACTAAAGTTCGCAAGGGTAGACCTACCGTTAGATCTAATTAAATATGTGTGAAATAGCATTATTTAACCGAAGTAATGTCGCAGACAAAAATTACAGTAAATTACTGTAACTAAATAGCCTCCAATTGTAACTAGTAGTAGTAGTCTACTCCTGAAGCCATGTTATGATTTATGATCAACTTTTAAGGGCTTGACCCAATAAATATATATGTCTAATTAAGCTTGTTAATTACGGTATTATTTGTTAATTAAGTAGATCTACCGTACTGTAGAGTAGTAATCATGTCACAAAACAGATAAAAATATTTAATTTATTGGTAGACGTAAACAAAATGCTTCTACTATTAATACTAATAATAGCCACGCTTGTTCCGATACATTGTTGTTACACTCAGCAATACAAATAAATACAGGTCACCGTGATTCAACTTCCGTATTTTGGGAGAAAACCCAACAAAAACATAACGGTACCAACTTTCATCTTGTTTTACTTACGTAATACACGGTAAAGGTGTCCATACAACACAATGAGGGTATCTACTTCTGCCATGATCTATTTTGTAACCACTATGCATACCATTTTGAGCCGACATATCTACTGATTCCTGTTCTAGATTACCCGACATTGAAATTCTTCTGTCAAATGATCCGTCCGCCATTTGTTTGACAGCTCGGGAGCATCTATTGATATTTACCAAATCATTTTATAAAACAGACAACCTTGCACATAAATTAAATCAAATAAATACGAAAATAATTTTTATATATTTAATATGCATAATACTGCTTAGTGAAAGTTGGTTAACATGGTTATTATTTTGCATTTTTGATATGAAACACTTGTCAGATAGAATATTGATTTGATGGTCCCTTAGAGTTTTCGTCAAAATTTTGCAATGGTGGAAATAGCGTACGTTCTAACTCGAAAAATTACATCAAATATATCAGAGCGTGGACATACTTTCATGGAATACTTATATCTATATGGGTGCATTTGGTTTGTGATTTAAAAAATGCAAGAATTTTGTGTGTAGCGTTTGTTTGTGCCGTGTAATCAACAAAAACAGACTCATTACAAAGGTCACTAATTTGGGTTATTCCCGCGCTCATGGCGGCTGATGGCACTACGAGGTGGCGATTACGCCGTCTAGGACCTTCGGCGTCTTGTGCTAACGTTTGTGATGTAATGAGGTAAGTAGAAATGGATTCGTAAAAATTACTTCATCTATGACCTGTAAAACGTGACCCATATTCGTCCATTCTCATTGGTAAAATTTGACCTAGATTCTGTGCTTAAAATAGAACATGATAAACAAACAGTGTTGAAATTCTACTACACATGGTTGTACACTAGTACTAACCGGTCGTAGTGTTACTTTTCACTACTGGTTGAACTGCATTAGGGAAGTTGTATAACTGAACATTTTTATTAACATTTTTATAGACAGACTACTGACTAATCATGATGGGTGTCTAAATTATAGCGTATGCTATCTGTATGGAGATGAGATAAAATGTCTGCAGTGCAGCAGCAATCAATTGAAACATATGAACTAAAGATCAATGTACATGTATGACTACAGACTGTACCGTCATTTATCAAGAGCAATTGTCAATTTATTACCTAGAAGTAGAGAAACAGATTAATCAATACCATGACCTTGGCAATGAATGACATTATTGAATCAATAATCTTGGTTTGGGATTGAAAACATCTTTATTATATAAAAAAACATTAACCAGGAAACCGGTTCATACCAGGACCCTATAATTAATTAAATTAGTGCTTTTACCAATATTGATTTTAAATAGACCCTTTACTTTAATTGATGAATTACTAGTTATAGTATAGTTAATTTTGTTTCTCATTTCCGAATCTTTTGTCAAATTTTTTCACATTATAAATATTATAGCATCAGTGTAAACTGAAATAATTAACTTTTACAAATTAAAATATTTGACACAAAAGTCTTCATTTTACATGTTTATTAGTCAATTAAAATTGTTAGTAATCAGGTAGTAGTCATTAAAGGAGCTAAATCGCTAATATTTGAGATCTAGTGTAGATATTGACACAAATGGGTCGCAACGCATATGAATGTACAGTATATAAACTGATTTACATTCAATCGTTTCCGTTTTTTATTCTAATTTAAATCAGTTATGTTTGTCGAAACACGGGAAGTTTCAATTGAATGGCAATCTCTAACGTCTGGTTATTCCAGTCTACACTGGTAGTATTTATTATGCATGCTCTCCAGATAAGAATATGGGGTCACCATTTAACATTACTTGTGGAATATGTCTAGCTGCTTTCGGGCTATACTATATACTAGAAAACTACCGGAAAACACCATTTTATACTGAATGCCGGAAAACACACTAAATACCCGGAAACACCCTAAATAGTTAACTAGGAGCCTGGTCCTCTGGAAAACACCAGAAAAACCTAACCCTAACCCTAGCCCATCTCTGGTCCTCTGGAAAAACCCCAAAAAACCTAACCCTAACTCCCCGCAAACAGAGTACCAGGCTCTGGGTTAACTATTTAGGGTGTGTTTTCCAGTATTTAGTGTGTTTTCCGGTATTTAGTGTTTTTCCGGTGTTTTCCGGTATTCAGTATAACATGGTGTTTTCCGGTAGTTTTCCAGTTGTTTATTCAGGTGTTTTCCGGTATGTAGTATTGCTGCTGCTTTCTTGAGGCCCTTGTTACAAGGGATTTAAATATTGGATATCAGAAGCCCATCTTTCCCTGTAAGATCACAACATCAATGTTGATTTAAATTGACAAATAATTCATGTTTTCAATGTCGAAGACTGTGGATTATATTGAGTTAAAGACTTAGCTACTGTACTTTGAATAGGTGTTACATCGTGTCACTAAGGTGATAAGATCCTGTTGGCTTTTATGCCCCCCACTATTGTTCTCGTGATAGGAGCAGTCCAGCATGGGGATTATCAAATACAAAAGGATTAAAACTACATGTACATGTATAGTCTGCTGCACAGAAATGTGGTTTACAACAAAAGTGAAACTTGACTAAAAAAACAACTTTATATATATTGTTTACTACATTACATGTACTACAAAAAATATTAAAAACAAATCATACATGTAAACCCACAAAATGTGAAATACATGTGGTTGGCGTATTCAATAGCACTTTTTTACTCCCGATTCTTGGATCATTTATACAGTGTTCAACTTTTTTGTACATGTACAATGTATTTTTGCCTTAGAAATAAATCGTACACGAGCTTGAGCATTTCAAACTTTTAAAGATGTGTTGTAATTTGAGTGATAAATATCCTTACACTGTGAAAGTGAGTTTTTAATCATATGTTTGATTGATTCATGAGAAAATTTTAATGCAAAAGTGAATAATATTTAAGATACTGGTTAAACGATGACACATGAACTTGACAGTGTCTCATATGTTAACTAGAGCAATAGTAATAACGATGACACATGAACTTGGTCTCATATGATTTAATCATTAACTAGATCATGAACAGTAATAATAATCATACAGTCTATAATCCTTTGGGGATCATGTGGCTAAGTGGGTAAGACGCTGGCTCGCTAGCCTGGAGGTCGGGTGTTCGATCCCTGCATTGGCCGAGAAAGTTCATCCAGATTTTCCAGCGTGGTTTCCCCTTGTCAGTGATGTATTGCAGGAGTAATCGGGTTAGGTTTGGGTATTCAATTGTGTTGGGTATTGCAATTACGGTAATCATTAATCATGCTTTTACAGCTACAGTAGTTATTACTAGTTACACACATGCTAATTAATGACTACATGTACTGTATAATTTCTAACCACTTTCGATATACATGTACATGTACATGTACTAAATATTAGTAGTTAAGTTTTCACACCTTTCCCCAAAACAGGGTTTGATTAAGGGGCATTGCAGGAGTAAACCGGTTAAGTTTGTGTATGCAATTGTGTTGGGTATTGCAATTACCCTAATCATGCTTACAGCTACAGTAGTTACATGTACATGTACACATGTGCTAATTAATGACTGCTTGTGTACACTGTACTTGTATGTATAATTTTTAACCAGTAGTTACTGTCATAAACTAATGACTTGTATGATTTAATGACAAAAAATTTCATAAGTTGGTTTATACAGTACATATACATGTAAGTCAGCAGTATCAGTTTAACATTGCATTCTATTATTTAGTATTCCAAGCTTCATGCTCATGAAAATGACATTTCGGATAAATGATGTTTTTGATATTCAATCAATACTGAAAAAGAGAAATACATGTATACAAATGTATTTGCAGGCTACATATGTACAATGTATATAATATTTAGCAAAATATCCACTCTTCGCCATGAGTTTTAAAAACTGCAGACCTGTGTTCTTTTATTAGTCTTCATTGTGCTTATCTTATCACATCACAATCTCATCTGAGATATACAGTAGGCCTACATGTACTCTAAACTCAATATTTTTCATAACATTCAAAATTGAAAACACGAATTAGAATTCAATATTGGTCAATTTCAATCTATATTGATGTTGTTATCTTACCATTAAAATATAGCATCCTATATCCAGTATTTAAGACATAATGAACATTTTATAACCAGTACACGAGTTGTGTACACTGGTTTCAGGTGCCATTTTGTAATGAACAAATAAAAACATATCCTACATGTACAAGACAATATGGAAGTAATTAGTGAAGGCTGATTCACAAATGACAAAATAATAATTGAAAAATAATGTGTAGAATGCACTAAGCATGTGTAAACAACTGCTGTTTAATGTGATCTGTTCACGCATTTCACCAAATTTAATTAGAAATTACAATATTTTTTTCATAAATTGAATATAAATTACTTTACAATACATATATCTGTATATTATTTTATTTACAGGTTAAAGAATGGAATAACAAGATTTGGCAGAAGTTTAGATAACGATTTTTACCTGGATTCAAAAACCCACAAAAACTTCATTTCCAGACATCATGCAGAAATCCGCTTTACCAAAATTAATGGAAAACCAGAATTTGTTCTTTATGACCACGGATTAAACGGCACATTCATTAATGATGTCCGAGTAAGTAGATTGGTGATATATCATACAGCTAACTAAAAATAGGGCTACTGTAAGTCAGACACAATTCCTTTTGTGTTCATGTACATGTACATGTAGGTGGTTCCATTCATTTTGTCTGGCAGAGATTGTCTTTGATAAATGTCTGCACAAAATTAAACATGTCTGCTACAAGTAAAATAGTTTATTCCAGCCCTGTGAATCAACACTTGTATCCAAAAATATAAAGATTTAAAGTATAAAAATGTACATGTATATTGTATATGTACCGTAACTATTTATTTCAAGCACAATCTCTTCAAAGCAGCTGCCCCACCCCCCAAATATGTACTAAATTTTTGGATGCCAAAGCAAGTATATTGTACAGCTACATGTACATGTAGCTCACAAAATTTTCAGACTTAAGTTAAGAATTTACTCAAAAGTGTTTGCTTTATTTTAACTAAAATATAGCCCTTTATAAAACTTTTGTTGTTTTAATGTATCAAATACATCAATAAGAAACTATGTGCAAAGTTTTTTGTTTCTGGATCCAAAATAGTTCTCATAAACAGTGATTGATAATGATAATGTACTTGGACCGTAGCTGGATATTGGTTACATGTATGTTGTATAAAATTAATGTACAATGTACATGTATCCACATGAATGTACTTAGACTGAGTTTCAATGCTTGTATTTGTATGTTGCTGTCTGACTGGTATGAAAACTTTAAAGGGACAATAACACTCTTGCTGGCTTGACAGCTCTATAAAATAAAAAATAGCCTTATTCTAAGTATTAGATGTGTTAGTGTCCTACCTGTTGTGTAAATTATCCATTAAATTCTATTTTACTTGTCCAGAGGGTTCAAAAATATTTTTAAATCCAAGTCACATTTGAAAAGCTTTACGTCAGGCTTTTCAAATCATTTAGTTGAATTTTTCCAATTTTTTAAATTAGGTGTGTTAAAGCGAGAATTTCAAATTTTCTAAGAAAGTCAAAACATAATTATTTCTATGTCTTTTGCTAAATAGGTTATCAAATCACTATTGTACGATCATGGGCATTATTTCCCACCCTTAAAAATCTATGACACAGGAAATAACAACACAATTACCTCCCCTGTTTTGCTATTGACAACATGGGGCAGCCATTTTCCAACGTTGGAATTTGAAGTTAAAAATGATATTTTTGCCAATAGCGAATTATAGGATTAATAGGATTATTCTTTGACAATGTAGGACTGTTTATGGATACCATCTATTTTAAGGCTTTATTTTAATACATTTTAAAAATATAACTTGAAAATTTGCAATTTCCGCTTTAAGATGAAATTTGTATCATCAATTAATTGGAATATTGTAAAATAGTACAATTTGTTGACCAGAATAAAGATTGGGACATATTATTCAGTTACAACAAGAGTGGTATTGAGCCTTTAATATTGTTTAATTTTTTTACAGATGGAAAAATCTTGTGTTTTAAAAGAAGGAGATAAGATTACGTTTGGCCATACAAATGGTTTTAAAATAGATCCAGGACAACATTCAAAACAACCCAATTCCGAGTTCCAGTTTACTGTAAATATTTCTTAAATTATTTAAAGCTTAACAGAAATTTCTTCATTATTATTAACATACATTATGCAAGAACTAAATCTGCCTATTGCAGGTCTTTCTTTAGGCCTGGAATGTTTTCTAAATTATTCATTAGACATTAATTAACTTATCCAGACCATAATCAACTTCGATGGCATCGCTAGCCTGCGTTGTTTATTGGATTAGGTTCCGATTTGCTGCTCAACTTCTATTCATGATTCAATCATGAAATGGATAATCGAGACTGTTTTTTATCGTACCGACTTTAGTAATGATGATCGCGGCTAGGCCGAAAATTCAATCGCTAAAATCTTGGTTTAGAGTGGATCAATTTGACTGAAATTTTCTGCAAATTCCCTTTACATTATCTAGTTTTTAACTATTATACTGAGAACTGCCAGCACTTTATCTAACCTCCCATATTGTATCTTGAACTTTTTATCACTGGACCACAAACTCAGCCTCAACCGCCACTCTTGCTGTTCTTGGGGGCAATGATCTTCGAAAAAAGCCTAAGTTTTCACCGCTTGAGGGGGTTGGATGGCTGAATGATTAGCACGTGCGTGCTGTATCATAAAGTCTGTCATTGAGTCAACTGGCGTGGTTTCGAATCCCCGGTTGTACGTGACAAGAAGTAGGGTTGCCTGTCCAACCTCGTGGGTTTTCTCCCGGTCCTCCGGTTGCCTCCAAGTGCTAAAGACCCCTACGCGCAAGCGAATTATTGAAATAAATTTAAACCATGTGTTAGTCCCGAAATGACCTAGTTTTTGTCGAATGGACGTTAAACTCCATTCTCTCTCTCTTTCACCGCTTGACCAGTGTACTGGAAATGTTTATTTGATATTTACATGTAATGAATAAAACAAAACGAAAATATCAGTGGTAGTTATTCTCTTGGTTTAGATTTAAGAAAGATTCCCATCAAAATATTTTATTTTATAAGATTGTTCCGAGTGGTCTTTTGGGTTGGTTCGAATGGTCTCTCTTTTTGCCCGAGTGGTCTCCTTTTTGGTCTGACGGGTCTTGGTTCGAGTGGTCTTTCGGCCGAGTTGTCTGGATACAGAATTTGGTTCGTGTTTAATCATATGGACAAATAATGATGTGGAAGGGTGGCATAATTGTATCAATCAAAAAGCGATGTAATTAGGGTGAATATTTGCTATTATTATGCATTTACCCGTAACGAAGACATAAATGACAACATATTTATTGTCTGTATTTTATTTTTTATTGGTCCGACTGGTCCTTTGGGTTGGTCTAAGTAGCAAAGCTAAATATTGGTCCGAGTGGCCTTTTGGGTTGGTCCGAGTTGTCTTTTGCGTGGGTCCGAGTTTATGTACTGACCCGTAACGAAGACATAAATGACACCATATTTATTGTCTGTATTTAATTTTTTATTGGTCCTTCTGGTCCTTGGGTTGGTCTGAGTAGCAAAGCTAAATATTGGTCCGAGTGACCTTTTGGGTTGGTCCGAGTGGTCTTTTGGGTTGGTCCGAGTGGTATTTTGCGTCGGTCCGAGTGGCCTCTGTTTTGGTCCGAGTGGTCTCCTTTTTGGTCCGACTGATCTTGATCTTATAGGTGATGCTGGTTTGTTTATATCCTATGTATAGGATGCTGAATGTTGTGAAATTTTTAATTCGTCATAGCTTTGTTATTCAAAGGAATTTAAAGCAGTTTTGGACTTGCATAAATTACATGTGCAGCAGTTCTCTTTAAACATGCATTATGCAAGGGGTAAATCTGCCTATTGCAGGTCTTTTTTTAGGCCTGAAATGTTATATTAATTTATATAATTAGACATTTATTTACAATGTACATGTACATGTACATGAAAAGACCATAAATCAACTCTCGATGCCATCTTATGTGTCCAATTTTCTTTGGATTTGAATCCGATCTGCTTTTCAACGTCGGTTGATGATTAAGCACAAAAATGGATAATCAAGACTTTGTAGACTAACGCCACCTGGCCTAGGTTACTCCCTGGTCGGAGCTACCCCTACACCCCAAATTTCAGACTTGGGGGCAGACCTAGTGTAGCCGCCAACCCCGAACAGACAGACTTCGCTCGGGGGTCATAACTCCGAAACCGGAAGTGATAGACTAACGCCACCTGGCCTATGTTACTCCCCGGTCCGAGCTATTCCTATACCCCAAATTTCAGAGTCGGGGCAGACCTTGTGTAGCCGCCAACCCCGAACAGTCCGGCTTCGCTCGGGGGTCATAACTCCGGAAGTGGTAGACTAACGCCACCTGGCCTATGTTACTCCCCGGTCCGAGCTACCCCTATACCCTAAATTTCAGACTCGGGGCAGACCTAGTGTAGCCGCCAACCCCGAACAGACAGACAGACAGACAGACAGACAGACAAACGACAGTCACAAAGATATATAGATATTGAGAACTGCCAGCTCTTTATCTAATCTTCCATAATGTATCTTTAATTTTAAATAGAGATTCAATTTTCACAATATTGTACAGGTAGATGTAGATTGCGATGGATTGAAAATCCTTCAAGACAAATGATCAAATCATAATTAGAGAATTTTATTTACTTTTCTTTATTTGATAATGTTTTAATTATCTATGTGTTTCAGTTTGAAAAATTAGATGAAGATGATAATGATGATGATTCTGATGAAAGTTCAGATGATTCTGGACCAGAATCTGATTCAAATCCTCAAAATGATCATCTGTGTAATCGCAATTTATATAACTCCCCAGAATATGACCGGAGTCAGTGTTGGCAACAGGGACAAGTGCAAAAAAATAATCTAAATATTACAAAAAAGAGTGAATGTGATCAAGACGCTACCGTTGAGTTTACGAAAGGATCAATAAAAAACAATACAAAACCTCGTTCTCCGCGAGGGAAAAAAGGAAATAATATTTTACTAGGGGACATATGTGCTAATAATATCGGTAAAAACGATCATATGTTAAAGACTGGTTCTGCGTCCAAAAGACAGAATGGATTAAATAACGTGAAAGATGAGAATTTAGAGCCGCCAGTGTTAAAAAATCAGACAACGTTGTGTTATTCAGACAATGACAAAAGTGATGATTCGAAGGATTCTTCGAGTGGACAATCGAGTGAGTCGGAAACAAACACGAACAGTGATAAAAGTGAGGACAAATCGTCGTCGTCGGATTCAGAACCCGAATTAACAATTGATACAAGTGTGAAAAAACCCGTGTCGGCCCCAAAGACACGACGTAAAACTGCCAGTGCTAGAAAACGGAGACCCGCTCAAACGACACCGAAAAGAACTGTTACTAAAAAAACACCTGTACCCATAAACTCTAAATCCAAAACAAAAACGAAGGCAGCAACAACACGAGTTGAAACTTCAATGAACAACAAATCGAAAAATACTAAAGAACCTCCTCCCCCTCCTGTCAATCATAATATAAACAGTCCTTCTCGGCGTATTCTTTTTAATAAAACATCTCCAGCTAATGGAAAAAGGTGAGTTTGATCAAATCCAATTATGTGCACATTTTAGCACATATGATGTCATGAATGTGGATTGTGGGTTAGGTTTAAGAATTTGGGGAAGAGGTTAAGTCTCCACATAAGCACTGACCTAGGACGATGAAAAATTAGTTTGTGATATTTCCTAGTTTTATTAATGACCTGCAGATTTCGTCAGTCTCGAGATGTAAATAGGGCTAGCACTAACCCTAATTCTGGACCAAGCCTAACCCTTACCCTAACCCGAAATGTAGTTAACGCACGATCCACATAGGACGTCATATGTGCAGGACTGTCTCCGATCTAGCGTTCTCCCTAAATGCAAGGTTCTTTCGGTTGATCAATTTTGATGCACGTACATGTAACAGAGAGATTTCACAAACAAAATTCGCATACTACCATATTTATTTGTTTTCCACTTTGTAAAATCTTTTGAACTCTACTGCTATGAAAGTTAAAATGTATTTTTTATGTGCTAGGAGGATTTAGAATCTGTCCACCTGTAAGATTAAACTGAATAGTGTACATGTACATGTACGTACAGCTGTGTTACCTCAAGTCAGTTGTTCACGTACATAGCTGCAAATAGACACACAGTGACTCAGTGAGTAAGACGCTAGCATGCTAACCAGAAGATCTCGGTTTGTTTGATCGAGAATGTTCCAAAAGATTTTCCCAGCATGGTTTTTCGCTTGTCAGTCGTGCAGGACGGAAACCGTGACAAGAATGAACACCTATGAATTAATGACTACTGTTTAATTTCTATAATTTTTACATACATGTACATGTACATGTACGTGGGCATAGATATGGACAGAAACTTACACACATGAATTCCAGGCACGAGACAGGCCCCCGACAATCAAAAAAAAGTCTTGTTGAAAAACATTGGTACCTTGTAAACAAACCTGGAAAGAATGATTTTAGTTTTGCATGTACAATGTACATTATATACATTCCTGACAAATTTTCAAGCTGTGCTGATCTTAAATACATTGTAGTACATGTACATGTACATGTTTGTGCCAAACATGTATTTTATATACTGTTAAAAGCTTGGGGTTGGTGGATAGCCAAATGCGCATGCATGTTGAATCATAAGGTCTGTCATTGAGTCAAGTGGCGAGGTTTCAATTCTCTGGTTGTACGTGACAAGGAGTAGGGTCACCTGTCCAACCTCGTGGGTTTTCTCTCGGTACTCAGGTTTCCTCCCACTGCTAAAGACCCTTACGCGCTTGTGAATTATTGAAATAAAAATTAAACCTCTCATTCTCTCTCTCTCTTTTTGATGTACAATGTACTATTGTTACACAAATCTGGAATTTGTTTGAATTTGAGCCTGGAAATATGAGGCACTGTCAAAGACATTATCAGGCACAAATTAAGACTTTGTCTGGCATTGTCTGACAGTGTGTTATGAACAACTACATGTATAAGATCATTACAATTGTACAGGTATTTCCAGGTCTAATTTTATCAGCTCATTCTGTAACTTTATGGTACAGTTTGTAACAAACTTCTTTCAAATTACTGTAGGTCTGAAGAATGGAGTTATGAGAGGACAAACTCTATCAATATTCAGCGTTCTGCTACGTTTTGTCTGGAGTTGTATCAGTTCTTCGAAATCATTGTTAAAGCGAGAATTTCATATTTTCTAAGAAAGTCAAAACATAATTATTTCTATGTCTTTTGCTCAATAGGTTGTCAACTCACTATTACATGTATGTATACGATCATAGGTATCATTCTCACACTTAAAAATCATTGACACAGGAAATAATGATACAATTACCTCCCTTGATTTCCTATTCCCCCCCCCCCCCATGGAACAGCTAACCTCAAACGTTTGAATTTGAAGTTGAAAATGATATTTTTACCAATTTCTCAACTGGCAATAGTGAATTATAGGATTAATAGGATTATTCTTTAACAAGGTAGGACTGTTTATAGATACCATCTACATGTGTATTTTAAGGCTTTATTTTAATACATCTTAAAAATATAACTTAAAAATATGAAATTATCGCTTTAAGGTGATAGAGGCTATAGTTTTTAACAGAGCTCTTTTGAATTTGGTGTGAAACATTGCAGTCATGAGAAGAAAAAGAGCTTTTACATTAAATTGTAATTATTTTTCAGTGATTCAATAAAATCTGATATATTTGGAGATCCATATGATTTTAATAGTGATGAAGAAAGTGTGGAAGGTAGGATATCAACATATTTTATTCAGGGATAGGGGAGGGGGGTGGGGGGAATGTTGACAAATGTTGCTGTCTATCTGTCCATATGTACGTACCATTTCCTGCTAAATGTAGCACAGTATAGGCTGCAATAATCTATATATACATGTAGCTTTTCAAAAATTACAGAATCTTAACCAAAATTATAAAATCTTAACCAAACTTGCTAAATCTTAATCTAAATTATAGGTGACTTTGGTTGTTTCGTGCATATCCTGTGCCATAAAGTTGACAAATTTTCAGTAGTTTACAAGGGATTTAAATTCCGCCAGAAATATAGATTTTTTGATTGAATAGTTTCAGTTGAACCTCCAAAGGGAAAAAATAATTCAAAGAAAATTTCAAGCCAAAGTGATGTTATAGAAAGTACAAAAACAGGTATTACTTTTTAATGCAGATTTAACAAATGGGTAGGGGTGGAGAAATGAAATGAAATGGGGTTTAACATCCTACTGTTCTGCTCGGTACTTGTCTAATGAAGACGGGCATACACCATACAGTATTGCCCGGACAGTGGCACTATGACCTACTCTTATATGGAATTCCAACTGTCAAGGGATCTTTTACGGGCACGCCAATGTATACACGGGACCTCGATTTTTTGTACCATCCGAACAACTAAACAGCTGTCCTTGTCAGTTCCTCCTTCCTGCATCACTGACAAGGGGGAACCAGGATGAACTTTGGATGAACTTTCTCGGCCAATGCAGGGATCGAACAGTTGACCTCGAGGCTAGCGAGCCAGCATCTTACCCACTTAGCCACCGTGACCCCTGGGAGGTGGAGAGAAATGGGGTTTGATGTCCACCTACACTATACTAACCTGGTCATTTCTGGGTATAGTTGTTTTATTTCAGTAATTTGCTTACATACAAGCCAGGTTTTTTATCAGTGGGAGGTAACCACAGAGTACTCAGTGGAGATTAGATGAGATTGTGCAATAGGCCCTTCTTCTTGTCACATCCATGTGCACGCGTTGCTGTGGCCACACCCTGTGTGTCTGAACCCATTGAAGTCTGATTTGACATTCTCGCCGTATTTCAAAACAGCAGCTCTAATGAGACTTCTTGCTCCTAATCCGGTTTAAAAACAGAAGCTCTAATGGGACATCTGGCTCCTATTCCAGAGTCTCGTAGGCGTTTACGGACTGTCTGGTGTGTGATCCTACGCTGTCCAGGAATTGCTGCTGCAGTAGAGGTCACTGTTGTGAACCGTTACCATGAATGACGTAACCGGATGTGACGATCCCGGGCAGGTGCGGTCACTCTTGTTTGGCTTGAGCTTGGGCGGTCACGTCTTGAACTTCACTGTCGGTACCTACATGTATCCCAAAGGCGAGAAATGGTACTCTGGGAAACATTCAGCAGTCTGGCTACATCTGTCTGCTATTCACCTGCTTGTAACCCACCGATAGTGTTGTTGTGTTGGTAATCGTTCAGATATGGCATCACTTGGTTCGTTGAGAGTTTACATGTGCAACTGATTTTGAAACCGAGAACCCCAGGATTTTAAAGGCCTTAGATTTGGGTTTCATGCGAAACACTTGCGAATTTGTTAAACTCATTTGTCATGGTGCAGTCAAGCGAAAACTAATTTCGACAATGAATTAGTGACCCTACATTTAAAACCAATAATGAACTTCTTTTATCCTTACATAATGACATTAAAAACATGTAAGATTTATAGAAACAACGATCCCGTTCAAATAAAAGAAAGATGAAAAATGGGCTATGCATTTGTTTTTTTTGAAGGGTACATGTATATTTTATTGTGTGTATATTAAAGATATTGAAATATGTTCCTATTACAGCTGCCTCCATGAACAAGAATACTAAAACAGCCATCAAAAATAATAAACCTGCAGTGAATACGAAACGGAAAAAGCCTGCAGGTATGATTCCTACAGCCCACACGGCTGTCTTACATGTAGAATATTGATTGAAAATGTTGTAAATGATGGCAGTCACGATACAGGTTCTATTATTGATCAGCTTCTATACACACTGATTCACATTCACTCTTAATCTATTATAAGCTTTATGTTTAATAAACTTATGTCTTATTTCATTTCAATATTATAATTAATACTAATTATACAATGTATTTAATTACACATAAGGGGGGTTGGATGGCTGAATGGTTAGCATGTGTTCTCTGTATCATAAATCTGTCATTCAGTCAGTTGTTTTCGAACCCCCGGTTGTATGTGATAAGGGGTAGGGTTGCCTGCCCAACCTCGTGGGTTTCCTCCCACTGCTACAGACCCTATGGGCAAGGGAATTATTGAAATAAAATTGAACCATGTGTTAGTCTCAAAATGACCTAGTTTGTGTTGAGTGGACGTTAAACCGCATTTCTCTCTTTCTCTCATAAGAACAGAATTTCAATTTAGGTTTAATATTAAAGGGGCATTATGGAAGATTAAATAAAGAGCTGACAGTTCACATTGAACAGAGATATTAGCGATTGAATTTTAGACTAGCCTCGATCATCATTACTAAAGTCTGCACGATAAAAGCATAATCTTAATTATCCATGTCACCATTAATTTCTGCGTACTTGTATTTTTTAGTAGCCCCTAAAAGAAATAATAAAAGAGCTAAGGCTAGTTCTGATGATTACGGAGATGAAATTATTTGGTATGAAGGTGAAACATGTACATCGGATAATTGCTTACGACCGTCAGATAAAACAGTAGAATGGGTGAGTTCATTACTTATATACTTCCTATTCATCGGGTTGTTGGGTGGTCGAATGGTTTAATGTGTGCGGGGATCACGTGGGTAAGTGGGTAAGACGCTGACTCGCTAGCCTGGAGGTCGGGTGTTTGATCCCTGCATTGGCCGAGAAAGTTCATTCAGATTTTCCAGCGTGGTTTCCCCTTGTCAGTGATGCAGGACGGAGGGCCTGATAAGGACAGCTGTCTAGTCGTTCGGATGGGACGAAAAACCGAGGTCCCATGTACACATTGGCGTGCACGTAAAAGATCCCTTGGCAGTTGGAATTTGATATAAGAGTTGGCCGTAGTGCCGCTGCCCGGGCAAAATTTCCCTCATAGCACACTGTATGGCGTATGCCCGTCTTCATTAGCCCAGTTTAGGAGCAGAACAGTAGGACGTTAAACCCCATTTGTCAGGTGGGCTGTCATTGATTGAAGTGGCATGGCTTCGAATCCCCACTTGTATGTGACAGGGAGTAGGATAGCCTGTCCAACCTCTTGGGATTCTTCCCACAGCTAAAGAATTCTACATGCAAGAGAACTATGGAAATAAATTTGAACCTTACAGATGTATGTGCATGTTAGTCCGGAAATAACCTAATTTGTGTGGAGTGGACATTAAGCCCCATTTCCCCCTTTCTCTAACTCTCTCCTTTCATCCATCGGTACGCATTCACCAAATATTTAAACTTCATCAGCCGGACAGTGGTTTTAGAGTTAGAATGGTGGTAGGAGACTTAAGACCTGATTACCCTCCATATAAATAACCTTGTGGGTTTTCTCCCACTGTTAAAAACCCCTACGCGCAAGCAAATTATTGAAATAAAATTGAATTATATGTTAGTCCCAAAATGACCTAGTTTGTGTCAAGTGGACTTTAAACCCCATCTCTCTTCACGTAGGGGATGCTCAGTTGTCAATTGCAATCATGTGACACAGAATTCAGTCTTGTCACAGTTCTGCCAGTCCCGACAACGGAGGTGGTGTAAGTAGAATCGTCATGTAATTAAACCTAATGAATATGTTTCAGCTTTCATGATTGGTTCAGATATTTTCATATGCAGTCAGCACATGCGTTCTAGCCCCAAATCCCCATTTTACTTGATTGTCACTATTTTTGGGATTTAGAGAATTTAATTTGGGAATGTTCAATCGAGCATCCCCTTAGATTTCTTGTGCCAAATCGTAATTATATATAATTTCTTGTGTCAAATCGTGATTGTATATAATTTCTTGTGTCAAATCGTGATTATATATAATTTCTTGTGTCAAATCGTGATGATATATAATTTCTTGTGTCAAACCGTGATTATATATAATTTCTTGTGTCAAACCGTGATTATATATAATTTCTTGTGTCAAACCATGATTATATATAATTTCTTGTGTCAAATCGTGATTATATATATTTGTAGGTCCAGTGTGATGATTGTGATCAATGGTATCATACTATGTGTGTTGGAGCTATATATGCAGCAGTGAAAGACACCCAAATGGAATTCCATTGTGGGTGTTAAAATACATAGATATATATAAATAGTTTAACAGACATTGTTATCATAGTTAGCTTCACCTCAAATATCTGCTCACAGCATCCCATATCGTTGGTCGGAAGTCTTAAGGTCATATCTGGCATATTTTTTAAAATTCACATTGTTGCTTATTCAGAATCAAAATTTGTTTGCCCGTTAGCGTATTTCTAAGTTAATCTAAACGGGTTTTATATAGATATTATATTTGGGATGTTCTAAAAAAAAAATATGAACATTAGGAACCAAAATGTTGTATTTTTACTTGAGAAAAAAAACAACTTTTGTTTTGTAGAAAAGCGTTACAAGCAAACTGAAAATAGACAGTTGACTGCTCGTTGAAATTGTAATTGGGCCTGTACGATATCTATTTCTGTGATATATCTTTATTGTATAAAACTTTAAATTGCTAACTTTCACTCATTTCAACCCTGGATATGTAGCCTGAAAAGTGCGGATAACTGCATTTTGTTAAAACGACAAAACATAAATTTAGAAATAAGACATTCTTAAGTGACGTTTTTGTATGATATCATTTTAGGGACTCTCTTGAACGATTTGGCAAAAGTCAGATACAACCTTTTTGACCTCGCTGCAGCGATATCTTGCTTTCATTCTGTTCTGGAAGTTTAACTTTTCTGATAAAGGAACATAATTACAAACACTGTTTACGCACACACACTTTTTAGATAGTGCTTAGTTGCACTGTGGATATTTCTTTTTTTTTAATTTATTGAAATGTACAACAGAATAATGCTACAAATGGCTGTATTAATATCACTAAAAGTGTAAGAATCATCCGAGATAGCACAACAAGTTTATAAAACTGTTTAATAGCTAGCACATAGTAAAAAATATAGATAAATAGATAGATAGATATTATAGAGAAAGAATAAAATATGTCCTTGGCATTTATTATTATTATTATTATATATATATATATAAATATTGAAGTTTAAAATGTTCATACATATGTTTTAAAACAACAGATTTACCAATGACATAGCACCGTTACCCAATTGTTAATTGTTTATTGTCTTAATGAAATAATTCATCATAATTCATCTGTTACTCATCAAATTAGTAACATTTATGTAGCTTTTAACATAGTTAATATCTTGATATGGATGTAAATGTATTAATGTCAGCTTATTCGTGTTTTTTATAAACCCAATCATGTGAATAGTTAATCTTGTCAGTTTCAACTTTTAATTTCAACGCTCTTCTGTTGCATATATTATGAACAAAATATTAACCGTTAATTGTGTCAATTTAAAACTTAATTCTGTCTTTATTATGTCAATTTAAAATTTAATTCTGTCTTAATTACATGTATGTCAATTTAAAATTTAATTTTGTCTTAATTATGTCAATTTAAAATTTAATTCTGTCTTAATTATGTCAATTTAAAATTTAATTCTGTCTTAATTACGTCAATTTAAAATTTAATTCTGTCTTATTTACATATATGTCAATTTAAAATTAAATTCTGTCTTACTTATGTCAATTTAAAATTTAATTATGTCTTAATTATGTCAATTCAAAACTTAATTATGTTAATTTAAAATTTAATTATGTCAATTCAAAACTTAATTATGTTAATCTAAAACTTTATTCTTTCAAATTAAATTATAATTTGATTTTGATATTAATTTGATAATGCCTAGCTTTAAAATTGGTGTCTCTGTTACTTCCTCGCAACCATTGCCTTTAGTAACATTTAGGGACTGGTTGCCTTTAATAATGTTTGGGAACTGGTACAACTCTAAAGTTTCATCACCTTATCCTGGATTTTATGATAAAATTTTAAGCATATTACAAATATAATACAATTTATAATTTTAAATGAGGATGATGATATGAAGAATTCTTTTGATTTTTTGAGATACATGGACATCAAATTTCAATAAATACAGATATTTTTTTATCAATGCTGCCTATAGTGTAGTTTGGAATTGAGTTTGAAATTAGTTTTAACTAAATCACATATCAAGTCAGAAAATCAATATATCGAGTCTGGTACAGGTAAAATTAAACTCTTTATTTCAAGTCCCGATTTTCATCCAATTTTTCTTTTTCTGGAATAAATGAACTAGATTATACTAGTGTTACTTTTATAGGTTTTCTAATAAAAAGGAATTTAAAAAATAAATAATGTTAATGAATTTTTAAAGTAAATGATTCCAAATTTTTAAAAGCATAAATGTTTTTAAGTCTATCATAATACTAGTATTGTTATACAGTGTAATTATAATAAAATCAAAGTAGAATACTGGCATTATAATATGGACACAGACCACCATTAATTTCCCCATTGGCTTTAATGTTATTTCTTGGCTCTTAGACCGGCTCTAACCTTTTCCCATACGTATTTGAATATTTTGTCGCCACATGATTTTTGATTGTGGTCTGATTCTGTCAGCTTAGATAATGGCAAGAGTTATGCCCCTTTATTTTCGGTAAAAATGTCCGTCAGGACAATTTTTTAGTTTTGTGGCGTGTCAGCTCCAACCGGGCTATATTGCACCAAACATGTGGTGAATTTAACGAGATGAAAAATTCTACCACAGATGGAACACCATTTGGCAACCTCTTGCTTAAAAGTATGTATGAGGTTCACCATGGAAATCTTGAGAAACACAAACTGGAAGTAGTATGCAAAAAAACATGCAACTGATGCCCTACATCCCAACCTAACTAACCTCAAAATCATGAATATTCACCAAAATAAGATGGAAAAAATATATTCAAACCAAAAACTCAACAAAAATTGCCATGCAAAAGGGGGGAAAAGGGAATGGGAGAGAAAGACTAAAAATAACTTTGGTACTAGAGGGGTTTGGTGGGCTGTATCCATACAGTTAAGTATAATAAAATAAAAGTAAAATATTAAAAATAGCACATCTGTAATATATCATAAACTGTTATATGAAAATATACTTCACCAGTAATAAACTTCAGATAATTCATATACCTATTTGATTTTTCGTTTTTATTTTTAAAAAAAACAACAAAAACACAACAAAACAGCAGTGTCCATATTTCATTTTCTTTGTTGTCTTTTGTATGTTTCCATCATTTTTGTACTTTGTTATTTTTACATGTGTATCTTGATTCTCAATAATGTGGCCAATTTCTTGTTTATTTTGCCGTTTAAATCAAACTTAACACCCCCTTTTGTTGGTATTAAATTAAGTATAATGACTAGCGAATAATTTAATTCATATTGTGGACACTTGATGCATCTTATTATTCTATTCATATTATGTATATTTATAAAGATATATATGTTCTAGTAAACCATGATATGTGTGTGTGTGTGGATAGATTCTATATCGTCGATAAAGTGTCAAAAGGGTGTATTTAAGAATTTCTAAAGATTAAGAAATAGAACCTTTTGCATTTCAAAATTTCCACAAATCAAGATACAACATATGAACAAAATCAACATTATACTGTCGGTGAAGTGTCAAAAGGGTTTATCTAAGAATTTCTAAAGATTAAGAAATAGAACCTATTGCATTTCAAAAATTTCCACAAATCAAGATACAACATTTGAACACATGATACCCAGAACAGTTCTAATTGGCGTAGAGATACACAGCTTATACAGAAATGTATATATAATAATTGGGAGAGTTTAAAAATGCAAAAAAGTGTATTTGACTAATTTCCCGAGATACACCCTTTTGACACTTCACCGACGATATGCTACTACTATTAATAATATAATTTATCTGATAAAGCCCCTGGTACATTCACTATACTACCTGTACCATGGATTTTTTGGTCCCTGCCAACTTTTATACTGTTATCATGTAATTGCCATTCATCGTTAACCCTCTGTCTGTCCATTCATCTTTAACCCTCTGTACACGTCAACTAAAATGCTCAAGAAAATGCCTTGCATGCGCTGGTGGCCGTATTCACACTACAACTCAAACTAAAATATTTTAAGGATTCTGTCTTTTCATTGGTTGTTGATTGAAATCCTGGTACAAATTTGACCTCTGAGCCAATGAAAAGCCAGCATTCTTAAAATAGTCTAGTTTTTAAGTTTTCGTGAATAAGGCTCACACTCAAACTAAAATATTTTAAGATTTCAGCCCATTGATTGGTTAAAAGCTCAAAATGTTTTAAGATTTCAGCCCATTGATTGGTTAAAAGCTCAAAGTGTGTACTAGGATTATAGTGTATAAAAGGTGGGATTAATTAGCGATCGACCCTTTTATAGTGTTATACACCCACTTTGATTAACTACTTGATCCTAAAAAACAATTTGTGTTTTTTCCTTTGTCAGACGTTTTAAATCCCTGTATGCAAGGTATTCTGTCGAGTCAGTAAGGATTTATCAGACATATTTTCATCTCTTTTCGAACAGCCATATTAAATGTTGATTACACCAATCAAACTGATCAAATTCTCATCGCAGCGATTTGCTCTTTATTTCACCGTCATTGTTAAAATCGCATGTTTCTTTCTATTTGTGTATCAGGGGCCTGTTTCACGAAATTTTAACTAAGATTAAATCCAAATTTTAGTAATTTGATTGGATAATATTAGATTGATTTTAGTGTTTAGCCAATCAAAATTGAAGTATCTACTAAAATTTGGATTTTATCTTTAGTTAAAATTTCGTGAAACAGGCCCCAGATGTGTATCACTTGATTGTAGTTGAATAGGTTTCATACTGATTATATCTTGTACACAATCTCATTACAACACTGTTATATATTCATATGAAGCACTGGATGTTAATTATGTAGTCTTGACTTTTCTCACTCAATATCTTACAGGTTTTATCAAATGCTTTTTCTTCAGTTGAAATAAATAGTGATATTTTTAATTGGGATAAATGAAATTAAATTTAACGTCTTATTTGTCTGCACTCACTGGATCACTGTAACCCTGGTATCATTTAATCTTTTGTATTTAGCATTAATGTCCAATCCTTGTTTAAAAATTCGTAAAAATCGTTTAAAATTGCCCCAAATCATCTAATTTGTACTTGTGTTCAGTTTAAAGTTGACCATTCAATTTTGACAGTGAGTGTTTAATTTACAAGCATTTAGTTTCTCAATAACTATTCAAAAATTAGTCACTGTACTTCAATAATTATTTTTTTAACAGTGATTGAGAAATTAAACGCTTGTAACTAAACACTCAATATCAGAATTGAATGGTCAGCTTTAAACTGGACACAAGTACAAATTAGATGATTTTTGGTAAATGTAAATTTAAACAATTTTTACAAATTTCTAAACAGATATTTGATATTAAACGAATGTGAAAGAAATTAATGCTAAATACTCAAGATTAAATGATACCCAGGTTAGTGATACACACCAGGCAGTGTGCAATGAGAGATATTTCTCCCATACAGCGAGGTGTTTGTCTACGCTTTATTAAATTCCTTCTGTCAAGTGATAGTTATAATATACTGACGAGTACAGAGCTGGACCTAGGTTTATTGTCCCATCCTAAGGACTAGACACTTTTCCTTGCCAGACCATCCATCTTGTACCACTGACAAGGGGAAACTTGCTGGGGTCGAACCCTGGTCCTCCTAGTTAATGAGCCACTGTGGTTCCCTTAATGGCAATAAACAGTATATTTACAGTAAGAGAAATTTTATACAAGGAAAATATATTGCCTAGTCAGTTGGATGGAACAAAAAATCGTGGTCCACCTGTGTGCCTGTGCACTTAAAACGAAGCTTTGACAGTTGGAATTTGATAAAGTGTAGGCAAAAATACCACTGCTCAGGCAAAATTATAAAAAATAATTATATGTTAGTCTTAACATGAATAAACTATTTTGATGATGCGACGTTGAACTTCATTTCTATTCTATATTTTGTAACTTTTTCAAGAAACAAGATTTTAAATGTAAGTGATCTACTGATAGCTGGCTATTTACCTTACACTAACGAAAAATTGTATTGTCTCTAATGGCCCCCCAAATATACCTGCGTTTACAATTACTTGACCCCAAAATAGGATGCTTCAGTCCGACGATAATACCGATCCAGACTGTTGTAAATACCCAAATTTCAGTGTCAGAATTTATCTGCTGAAAACCACGCCAAGACCAATTTTTAGGACCTTGGAAATGAGAGAAAAAAAGTTTAGGTCGGCAATGTTGGTGAAAAAAAAATATATTGTGAATCGGGTAATCGTAAACACAGGTATTTTCGAGGTGGGCCTAACCACTAGCACTGCAAGTGATATGATGTAGGCCTATGTTATTATGATTGTGATGCCTTGTCTTATAACTGGA